AGGTGTGAGAAAGAGAAGGAGTGAAGTAGCCGAGAAGAAAAAGAACGAAAGGACGGACGAGTGACGCGCTTGCTCGTGGGAGTGTGTATAGCTTTGGAATCTAATCTCGCGTGCGACGATGCTGACATTCTTGTCGAAAATATTGATTGCCTTAAGGGACCAGAGGGTCGCCGAGCTGCTGGGATGTTCCAAGTTTTCCTCCTTCTTCCCTTCCTCGTACTCTTCTGGGCTCTTGTGCACTACACTATAGGAGCAAATCCACATCAAATTCTGAGAACTAAAACTTGAAATCAACATATCCATATTCATTTCTGTCATTGCTGAATACAAAGAGCCACATTGTAAGACTGAAGTGATCAACTCGCATGATTCTCGAAAAATTGTTGGTATATACGCAAGATTAAATCAAAAGAAAAGTAACATCATAATTGAGGTGTCAAAATTTTTCACACATTACTGTGTATTTTCTGAGCAGTGAGGAGAGTTGTCACATCAATATCTTATGCACATGAATATGCTATTTTAGCTGGGATTTTTCGTATTCGAGGCAAAAAAATGCATATGAAAAATTCAGTATCCGAATATTAACTGCTCATGATCTTTAAAGTCAACCCTTGAAAAAGTTTTAGGAGCCGAATTTAAGCCCTAGTTTTCAGGATGAAATGTGGATTTGGTCATGTACATAGTGGCGCAGGCACTACATGTAGATTTTCTCCGTTTCTGTCTATTGACCCGTGGCACTGGGCTACTAGCCAGCCACTCGGCCGGCATTAGATTTCATCAGCGCTAAATCGAAGCTAGTGGTCTCTGCCGTCTAATACATTGTATGCACGATATACATCTATTATACATAGGTAGTACGTAGCTCCGAACTAGAGCTTATATATCAGAGTGTATATGAATTCGAGTGGCGCATGCATATACATGGTATATACGAGCGAGGTGAAATGTGGCCACGTATACGCTTGGACGCCGTCGCTGCCGCAAGTCACGGATGCGAATCAATTACAGCGTCTGAACTGCGTCGTCGACGTCAAATCTCTCGAGCGACTTGCGCCAGCTCCGTCCAATATAAGCCGATAAAGGCTGCCAGAGCCAATTTATATATTGTGTATATACACGCCGAGGCTGCTTTTTTGCCACGCGAATAAATACATCATAGACACGAACGGCGATGGGCAAATATAAATTTTTCTGACCTACTGAAAAAGTGCTTACTCGTGCAAGATTACATATACAGGCAGACACGTACGTAGAGCACACAGAGCGATGTGTGCTGTACGTGTGCGAGAGCTGGGTAATATGCCTAGAGCCCTGCGATCGATTCACCGTCGGCGACGTCAACGAGCTCACGACGGTCACGGAGCCTCCAGCGGAGACTTGGAAGGATAGCGAAAAAACGATCGGTTTTTCCGCTGCTTTCACCCACACCTCACCGTCGATGGATAATATCTCTTGGCGAATCTGAGCTTTTTTTATATAGCCGAGCTTGCGCCGCGCGTAAAAGCCCATCTCGCCGTCTCTCATTACACGTGCGTGGTGAATTAAAGAAAGCGGTGTACGCGAAGACAGCCGAATGATGATAGCCAACAATAAAAACTCGATTTTCTCCGAGCTACTTACTCGGCCATGCATCGCTGGCAGATCTCGCAAAGTCTTTGCGATTCAAGGAACGAGCGAGCGAACGACGGAGAGTCGAGCGGCACGTCCAAGCCAAGAAGGAAAATCGATATTTCGCACGCGAGCCCGACACCCCGCGTCGATGAAGCTCTCTCGTTCGCTCTTTTTTCCCTCCTTTTTTCTTCCTCTCTTGCCTCCTTCTTTCTTTTGGCCAAAGCCGAGCAGGTATATATACGCGCTACACGAGCTGGCTACTGTGTAGCTGCTGCTACTGCTATAGCGGGGGGGCTGCTAGTTAAGCGTGCGACGTAGCCTGTGCAATATTCAAGCGGCGTGCCTGTACTTTTTCATTGCTAGCTGCAAGTTTACACACGGGTGCGGGCGCGCGCACAACCACCTCCCAAACATATTATACCTATACGGGCTTCAAGCTCGAGCCCAAGCACTCCTTATAGTTGCGAGGACGCTGGTTTTTTGTCGGCCTAGCCAAGTTTCAACGCTGCCGCTGCTCTTCTACCCCAAGTTCCCTAGAGCTTTTTTTGCGCCTCGCGCACGGCTGCTTGCTCGGGGGAGGGAGCGATTACTCGCCGAGAGGGCCACCAGATGAGCCACGCCATCCGTATACCAAAGTGCTATATGCCAGTGCTGCGGATGCGTAATACTGAGAGCGACTAGAAGATACGTGCGTACGCACACACGCGGAAAGAGCCAATGACACGGGGGGCGAACGAGCTTTTATGTTTTTTCACGTAGGAAATGTTAAGATACATACGAGCAGCAACAGCAGCAGCAGCAGCAGCAGCACTGGCAGATACAGAGGGAGAAAAAGAGCTGACGGCTCGACGAGCGACATCGTATTTTATTATACGCGTGAGGCGAGCGCCGACGACTCGAGACTCGACTCAAACTCTCGCACCTTTGGGGAAGATCGCTCGGGACGATGAGAGCTTTTGCCTTATGCTAATACGACGCCATGAATTATCCTCCTATGTACAGAGAGAGAGTGAGAGATGTTGTAATTGCTGCTGCTGATGACTTTTGGGATTTACCTTGGGTGCGTCACCGTCGCCTGTGTATAGCTATACATGTGACGCATACATACCTACTGAATTTATCGCACTCGGCCTTCCTTGACGTACGGACACTCTGGCACTTTTACCATCGAGATTCGAGGCACCGGACGTAACAGGCTAAATTTAATAGAACGTGGCGTCGTTTGCATTTTACGTACGTCCACGTTGAAATATTCCATTTTGCATTTAGGGGAATTTTTTATTGAATTCACGATTGAAAAAAAAACAATTCTGATTGAAATTATCGCAGCACAGCTTCATAATTATCATCGCGCGCAATTGTATACGCACGCGGCAAGAGGAAAGTCCAAAGCTGAGAATGTATAATTAGCCAGCCGAGCTGTGTGCATAAAATCGATATGCGATTATTCATTCATTATAATAAATGTTGGATACGAGAATCACTATTTATTCCTTATAAAGGCAAAATCTAACCCATATAATTGTATATGTATGTAAGCATTGTTGTTCACGTGACTCTAATGGAAACCTGATTTTTATTCCAACTCGTAAATGTGTCATCATTCTCCGTCGCCGATTTATGAATAAACAAAAGCACAGCAGCATCAGCCGCAGCCCGTATCGATTCGAGTAAAACACTTTTTCACACAGATGTACATTGCACGCCACCACGACGATCGCGAAAAAAATTTGAATTCCTTATGTGAAACTATTCCCTCGTAATTTCTTTGTAAAGCCTAATAGCGCAGACAATACGAGCAACCTCTAGTATATTTTTTATTTATTTATTTTCTTTATACGCGCGCGTACACACGCTGCTGAGGAAAGAACACGGAATAAAGTTCGGTCGGCTCGACACGCGCGCGTTATGTATGACCTATTTTTCTAATTACTTATCACCTCTTTAAGCACCTAAAAAATTGATGAGTAAATTTTTGACGTATTTAATCATTATAGCTTATTTGATTTTTCTTCTTCTTCTAACGGTCAGAGTGTATTCATGGTGTATTAGAAAATTTACGGTGGTAAATATTTAATGAATAAAAAAATAATAATACGCAATTCAGGGCATCAAATGGAAAAGGGATTGAAATAGGAAACCTCGAGTAGTAGTTATGTCACGTGCGCGTAAGCGCGTAAAAAGTATAAAAAGGAAAAGTAGTCTTCTCGCATTTCACGAAATGTGAATTTATTTACTACCACATAGATGACTGAATATTGTATAGGAAAAAGTGACACTGCGCACTTCATATGTACATGTGGCTGATATCAGATGAGTAAATAATACATATAAAGATGGCTGAACGAAGCAAAACACCGAGGCTGAACAAAGTTATAGATTGCTTTATGATCTACTCGTCACTCAGATTTTTCAGAGCTTGTCCATATTTTTTTTCTCTTTCTCACTCTGTACAACGTTTGCGTTTGATAGTCGACTATACGAACTACATGGCAGCGAAAACTGGAGCCAAAGCTTCAGTCGCGTTTGCGAGAAAAAAAGTTTGAAAGCCTCGCGAGAACTGCTGACACACACACACACACACGTACATGTACACATGTACATATAGACGCCAGTCAATAAAGCGTCGCACACGTTGTGTGTAAGCGGCCTATACTTATATACACACACTCGTGTATGCTCCATTAAGCAAGCAGCCAAGCGCTTATTGTTATAATGATGGGGCGTTCGAGCTCGAGCTCTACACGTCCATGCGAGAAAAGAAGGAATCCTGTACAGCTGCGACGACGACGGAACACACTCCGGCCAGCTATACGGCCAAATGAAACGTCAAACGGAAAATCGATCGCCGGCTCGGGGTAATAACGGTCGCAGGAGGCAGTTTACGCTCTCCGAGTCTCCATCGCCAGGAGCACGAGCAGTGTACTCGAGAGACCGAGCGAGCAAGATATTTCATCGTCCAAAGCGAGCTTTGCTTTTTTTTCTCTCCCTGCGCTCGCAAGTTCGTGCATCGTATAAGGGCCGCGCGCTTAGCTGGCGCGAAAAGTTGCATATGGCTGCTCTGCAGCCGCCTCTCCAGCCGAAGCGCGTCTAGCTATTATTGCATTCCAGCCCGGAGTCGCGCAGCTGGGGCGAATGAATATGCTGCGCGAGCTCGCGTAAAATAGGATTAGCAATCATATTTAGCCTCGGATGAATGAACTTAGCTGCAGCTGATATGACAGCACAGCAGCAGCAGCAGCAGCCTAGTGGCATCTCTCTGTGTTGCTTACTATGCCATTTTGTTACATATTATATAATACAGCTAACATTATTATCTTTCGGCGCACAGCCGCATCCCCAAGACTAATGGTATTTAATCTTGGATTTTGTTTCTCTGTTCACAGGCGGTCTCCGAGAGACTCGAGTTGGCCCCTGCCGGTGGAAGATCCGAGCCACAGGTGAGTCAATCGGTCGTACATACAGCCCAGCACTTCTCTTACGTCCATCTAAATTTTACTTAAAACAATTATTACTCTTCGGCACTTGAAGCGTTCGCTCGTCTCGCCGAGTGTTTGGCACTTGCACAGTGGTCCTCGAGCCTTGACTGCACCAAAGCTTCTTCTCCGGCGCGCGAAAGCTTTGAGTAGCTACGAGAGCAAACGTCTGGAAAGAATAATTATATTGTTGATTCATCGTAATAGTGGCCAGTCGCGCGAATGTCCTCTGTCGACCGACTCTTTCACTTCCAGCTCGCTCGACTTGGCACCGGATGATAATTATCCTTTCGATCGTCGACTGCACGGGCTGTATTATCGAATCGATCGTCCGCCACTCGGTGTAGCTTCCGACGTTTCGTGTATTTTATAAATACGAGAGCTGCTGACTTGGTGGTCGCTTCATCGCGTCGAGGGTGAAAAAATAATTCCCCTTTGCTCGGTCCGACGGCTCTCTATGAGAGCGGCCCACACAGAGCCAGACAAACCCACAGTCAAGCAATATAATACAGTGTCGATCTTTTGTCCTATTTCGCGCGTCCGGCTTTTATGTTCGAAATGACCTTAGTGCTTCAATAGTTCAATACGATTTGGCGCTGTGCGCGGCTGCTTCATAAGCCCCCGAAAGCTCTTAAGCAAATTAAATTTCGCTATCTCGTCGGTCAGTCGTGGGCGAGCGTGTGTCAGTGCAGCGGCGGTGGCGGCGGACGTTTCATTTCATTTGGCGCTGTCAATCGGACACTCGACGCGACGAGAGATGGATATGCGCAGGCCGAGCTGTTGTACGTACGAAAAGTACAAATGCCAACTGCGGCCGAATGCGAATTTCCGACCAACTTCTGCTCGGTGTGCTCGCCTCTACGTACTGTTCAAATTGAGTTCTGCGAACATCACCTTCGCTCGCATACATACACAGCTTCGCATGTATGTATGTGGCATGGAAAACTTGAGCATAACAACAGCTCCCGACACATCCAGGATACATCGCGATGAAATATCCATCCCTCTTGGCTGCAGTGCTCGGCTGTGTTTCGCATTACACGCGCATACACGTTGCGGGATCGAGCTGCAAAAGCGAACTTTTGTTGTTCGTAGTAGAGCAGGGTCGATGCTGTCGGCGCCTCGCTCGTTGCTCGTTCTCTCTTTCTCTCCGACTCTTATAGCCGCAGAAAGAGTTCGCGACTCGATGAGTTTGTTGGGAAAAGCTACCGAGTATGTTTGCCGGCTGCAGACGCGACGCGGATTTCCCGCGCGTACCAATGTGTGCGTAGATGCGTGTAGAGCTGCACACAGTGTACATAACTCGAGAAGCGGCGAGGCTCGAATAGCGGCTCGAAGCTCGCGCGGCGCCTATATTTACCGCACCAACGTATCGACAATGCCATATCTCGCAACTACTGCTGCGGCTGCTGCTGCTGCTGCTGCTGCTGCTGCTGCTTTTGCTTTCGATCGACGTCAGCGCGATATATGCACTTTGTATAGACTTTTAATCGTCCTCCCTCTATCCAGTCGCCGGCAGCTTTCGGATTCGCGAGCTTCTCTTTTTCTGTTGCTTCGTTCAGCCCCGATCGAGTTATTGTAAGAGTTTTCATTCGCGGCACAAATGTCATTTTATACCTATCACGTGTTTATTATCGAGTCCATCCGTTTTCCGCGTCGCTTCGGTGCGCACCAGCCTCTTTGTTCGCCTGCGCTCGGAGAGCCAGCCAATATATACAATGTGTCGTGTCGTTCAGCGAGTACATAATATAGTTGTGACTCAATTTCCTTTTTAGCTTTCATCGAATCGTATTCATATATACGTACATTTTTATGTATTAAAAAGCTCTCGATTCACTTAAAGCCAGCCTCGTAAAATCTATGCCATCCGCTTCTGTTACTCTACACTACTGCCTGCGCGCAGTCGTAAAAAAAAGTAACGCAAAAAAGAAGGAAAAAAAAAGAAAGAAAAAAGATTTAAGCTGTAAATGCGCATTGCCACGCTGCCTCGAAGCTCGAATTTGTGCGAGTGTACATTTTTTTAAACAAAATCAAATGCGCTACCCCTCGATGTGGAAAGAGCTTTGAGCTTTTTTTTCAGCCAGCTGCGCAGCTCGTACAAAGTCATTTTAATTATAGGCCTCGAGTAATGCTCAAAAGTACGCGTTGCACGCACACAAAATTATTATAGCTCTCGCGTACAATATAAGTTATTATATATTAAAAAGTTGCCCGCGTGCGCGTACACAGCCAACTGCATAATGTAATATGTTACATCGTCGCTCGTATGCACTATACGTGTACATTCTCGGGTCGTCCAAGTTGTAAATTCGTACAGCAGTCGTAGGTCGTCGCAGTCGACGGGCGCATCGCTTACGAGCGCGCGATGTGCTTATAAACACCTCGTTATATTTCGTTCGTTCGTTCGTTTGCTCACGCCTGAAATTATCCAACGTTCGAGTCGCTGAACTACGAGTAATATTTTAATTAAAACTGTACGAAAGATCTTGGCATCCATTATGGACCGGAGCGACAAAACGCTCACCCCGCTGCATACAGTTACTTCATAAATGCCACTTCGCGCGGATATTATTTTATACTTATAGCTATTATAAGCGCGAGGGATGCTGCTACCAAAATACTTTGCACACTGCCGGCTGCGAAATGCAAGACGCGCGACTATTTCTCAGACACTGAGTTGGCTGGCTATAGGGGGCGGGATTACTTTGGAAAAAGATGCCGAGAAATAAATTAAGTGCAAATATACACCGTAGCACGCAGCAGCTCCGCCGTTTTGCTCGCTTGCAGTTGAGAATTGATAAGAAAACGAGTCGTGCATAAATTCGAGTGCAACTATATATGAAAAAATAGCAGGGCGTGCATAATGCGATTTTCTTCCGGCCGCTGTATATAAGGGTGAAAGAATTCAAATGGACTTGCGAGATCGACCATTGAACCGTGAGAATGGAAAGTTTTGCTCTGGACCGCCGTTGGATTATTTTAGCGCGACTAAAGCTGGCCACTATGCAGTAGCTATATAATGCGTTAGGAGCTTTACTATTCGAGCACGTAACATTGATAGTATCGATTTTGAGCGTGTGGCGCGCTCGAGCGTCGAAGCACGCATTTATTATATGAAACCTATGAAGCGGTATCGATGTATAAAAGTGTCTTGGTTAATAATACCATGCGGCCCCACCTACTCGAAGAATAAGAAGCCCTTATAATTTCTCCTTCTTAATATAGATATACAGCTCGCATCGTGTATGCAGTATATAGTGAATACTGAACATATTTTCAGCTGTATACAAGCGAGTCACGATATAGTTATACATTTATAATATTATATTATATTCTGAGAAAGACCGAATCGCGTATGACAAGGCTATTTTGTATGTGGCAGGTGGCGACGCTATGCGAAGCCGGCGAGGCCTATTTGGCCCAGCACATGGGCGAACAAGGCCGCTGGATCTCGTCGATGGACACCAAGAGCTGCATGACCGACAAACTGGATATTCTACAGTATTGTAAAAAGGTACGCCAACGTGTATGTATAGTTTGAGCGAGTTATGCATTAGGCGAGTGAGTGGAGTGGCGCGCGGTATAAAGAAAGCAAGAAAAGAGAGATGGAGCCAAGTAAGTATATACAATCTTAAAGCTGCATCGGTGTATGTTGACGCTGTAAGGCTTTGAGGGCGCGTGCTAGGCCACAGCTGTCTGTGCGCCGAGTCACGTCGATGCACACAGAAAAAGAGAGAACCTCGAGTCTACATCTCTCTGTAAGTATAATATCGCGAGAGTCAAAGGTATCAAAAAGAGGAGAGCTACGTAAGACGTCGTTGAGAACTGCGTGTCGCGCGTCTATGCATACGCGCATACAGGACTTGGAAAGGATTCTTATGTTCGCGTGCGATGTCGCCGACGACGACGACGACGACGACTATTGTCCACGCCGCGAGGCTTTGCTCTGTAAATAGAGCACATAAGATGGAGACGGGGAGAAAGAGAGAAAGCCTTGACACAAGGAGCAGCAAGCGTGTATAATCTTCCCAAGATCTAGCTCGCGTCGTTTTCATATCCACATGTCGACTGCATAAAGCTCGAATTTTTACGCGTTCTTTTCCTTATTTACTCTTCGGCTGAAGCTCGATTTTATTAATACGCTCGGTATATAAATGAATATATACGACTGGATAGGCAGCTCACGCGCACACGGTCGTATCGTTAGAAGCTTCGTATACGTACGCAACAGTTTACACGGACGCGAGCAACATCAGCAGCAACGGAGTCGATTTTATTCGATTGGTCATAAAAGTGAACGCGACAAGCAAAAGCTCGGCGATCCGATAATTGGTCGAAAGAGCCTCGAGAGCTCCCATACGCATCGAGCTTTTATCGATTACGAGCGATCGGCTATTTACGTAATGCACCGTGGCATAACTTTTCTCGCTCGTTCGCTGCATCGCGTACACTCGCATCGTTACGCACGTACGTATGCGCGAGTATCTTATATTCGCACTAGCGAACCATTCGGCTCTGCTGTTTTTTTTTTCGCCCACATGCGTTATTTATATTGTACGTTACGGTAGCGGATCAAAATCGAGAAATATTATAAACGCACAGCTATAATGGCACATTGGATGAAATATTGTAATGTACGCGCGAGCGGAGCTCGAGCTTGCAACTCGAGCACGTACACGTATTTTGCATTCGCGGCTCGACCTATACTCGTCGCGGGCGTATACCTGCAGCTTGGGTGCAGCTGCTGCATCGGGCCGTCTGCCGTAGCGTCGAGTCGCGTATCAGCGCTTTCACGGAGCTTTTCACGCGCTCGAGCTTGCTCGCGATCATCGCTCGACATCGCGTGCACTGCGCGAGCTGCTGTGCGCATTGCCACTACATCCAAAGTGCTGACGAATACCAGTCGTACTATCTGCCTCTGCCTCTCTCGTGCGATCGCGGACGTTTTAATGATCCGTCCTCTTGGCTCTGGTTCGAGCGCGCGGCCTACCGACCGCGTGAGCGGATTGAATTTTAACTCCGAGCTAGCTTAGCAGCCTGCTCTGTATCAGCCAGATAATTGCGTTTCGTACGCGCTCGTGACTCCTGCGATGACGGCTGTAAAGTTGCAAAACTCGTCATCCCTTTCCGTTCTCTCGTCTCTTCTCCCCTCGCCTATATGCAATTTGCCGAACGGGAACTGCTCCCTCCCGTAAGCCCATTCCGTACAAATTTTTACACGCATGACAGTCGCTCAGTTTGCTCAGAGATTATAAAACTCATTTTAAAACCAAACGATAATAATCAATTCGTCAGTTAATAGCTGCAACCACCAGCGTGTCTATTCGATTGCCTTAAGCTGATCCTATATAATACGACATTTTGTAATTGGCGATACTTAACTCATAAGGAGATGGATATAGCCCCCCTAGTACATGGAAACGACGACCAGTTTTAATTTGACCAGAGTAGAATTTTAATAGTCTTTTCGCAGTGTGCAGCGTACGGCGATTATATGCACATTCACGAGATGCTGCTGCACATTCCTGTAACGTTTGTTCTCATTGAACCGGTCGATTTCGCTGTTAACCGATTCGTTTCTCCTCGCAAGCTACCTCGTTAAATTGAGCTTTTCGCGCTATAACTGCGCGCACACCCCGGACCGGTTTAATTTCGCGATAAAACCGATGATCTTTGGCTTCGCCGTTCCAGCCGTCGCGATATAGATTTCGATGAATCACAGATCCCCGAGAATATGAATATCTTGGTTGAAATGGAGAAACTCGATGAGCTTGAAAACTAACGCTCTTGAAAAGCCGTTGAAAAAAATTCACGACTAATATCGGCTGTCTGCCATGTAATGTTTGAAAGAAAAATGGCTGGAAGGAGAAGAGAGGAAGAGAGAGATGCAGAAAAAGAAAGAGCGGTAATGTACGCGCAAACCGAAGCAGTAGAACATTTTTGTTTGAACAGGCCAAGAGAGAGAGAGAGAGAGAGCTGAACTGCATGGCGAGCGAATCGTCTACTTGCATACCGTAGCTTTCAACTTTTTATTTTGAAGCATTTACATTTGGCGACGACGGACTGCACGCGCAGTGTGCGCTACAGCTTGGGGCTTCGGACCCTACTTCCCTCTCACATACTCGAGCGTCTTTTTCACTGCTCTCTCTCTCTCTCTCTCTCTCTCTCTCGAGTCGACGTTCCGTATCCCTCCGTACACTTGGCTATAAAAAATACAACTTTTTTACAATGCCGGATCTGTATCAGTACTCAGCGTTGACGTACACATATATATGTACATGTAATCCAGACGCTATAGTGACGTATAGCATATATAAACGTATTTGAGAAGAGAAAACTTATTCGAGCTTCGCAGAGCCGAATCGTGCTTCATCTTCTTTTTTTTCGATGCCGAAATCCAATCGTCGAGAGAACTTTTGGCTCGAAAAGTACGGTGAGCGCGCCGAGAAGACGAACAAGTTTTTTCCCTCCCTTACCCATATCGAAGCGTATGTGTGATATCGATGGAAATGCTCCACATATCTGACTGATTCTCATGTGTCTTTTTTTGTCTGCTCTCTGCTCCACAGGCCTATCCGAAGCGAGACATCACGAACATCGTCGAGTCGACGCACTACGTGCGCGTCACCGGCTGGTGCAAGCCAGGCAAGAACAAGTGCAAGCTCTCGAGATGGGTCAAGCCCTACAGATGTCTGGGTGAGTGTACGCGAGCCGCAAAATATATCGCTGCCGTACGATGATACGGCCGTTAACGCAGCCGAGCAAAATTTACAATGGCTGTGCATTAATCTCTTACAGAGGGTCCGTTCCAGAGTGATGCATTGCTCGTGCCCGAGGGCTGCCTGTTCGACCATTTACACAACCAGACCAAATGCTGGGAATCTTACAGGTGAATTTATTTAATTCTCTTACGCGCGGCTCTTCTCGAGCTGCGATACTTTACACTTTGCAATACGAGCGCATATACGCGCACAGAGATCCGCGACTGTAGGTAGTGCGTGCGCAATAAATACGTCGCGAGCTATTCGATATCGCGTGAATTCACGCTCGCGCGCTTGCTTACCCACGGGCGATATATATAATACGCGATATCGGCAGCTCGTCTCGCTACACGTATGTATATTTTCCGCGTTATTTATGTATAATGACGGCTCCAGCAAATGTGCACGCGCCTTCGAAATTATTCATCGCGACAAATTTCCAATCGAGCGTATGTAGGCTGCTCTGGGAGCTCTGCCATGCAATACATATATACAGTATATAATAATAAAAGCAGCCGCGAGTAAAAAGGAAAGAGACCCGACCGAGAGCAACAATTTTTCATTTCGCCAACTTTTCGCCGCGATATAACGGCGCGCAACACAAAGAGAGCGATTCGTTTATAAAATGCTCGATGAATATTCAAGTGCTCTCAATTTTTCGAGCTCTGCAGCAGCCTTCGTCCGTTTCCTTTTTTTCCGTTCGTGCGCGCGCTCGTGGAAAAGAACAGATTGTTAATATATTTTACACCGATCTGTCGAATATTCGGCGAATCACTTTGTACGGAAAAAAGTATGTGCATTAAATAAATTAGTGCAGCAATTTCCTAACGAGTGGAGGCGCTGGTAAGTGAAAAAGCCTCGCCACGGGCGTAGACGCGTTCGGGCCGCGAGAGCGTACATATATAGCTTTAATTAAAGCTCGGCTTGGTCGGTCGCAAGCTCGAGCTCTGTATACGCGAGAGCGCTGCATTGCTGCTGCGAGAGGAGTATAGCGGATCAGCAGCGCCTAATAGCAAATGCAGTCCTGTGTGTGCAGGCAGCGCAGTGCTCGCTTCAACCGACAGTAGTGGAAAATCGATAAGTACAGCCTCGTACGATACTTGGACACGTTTTGCCCGACACACATGTACAGCCACAGACACGTATATTTTCAGCAACGTATGCGATCTGCGTGCGTTCCGTATTTTTTTACTGCCGCAGTACGTTATTAGCGACGAAAGCTCAAAAAATATCCGTACACTAACGAGATCCGAGCTTGCATCCGTATACACATGCTGATGGAGAGCAGGAGTATTTAGCACATACATAATGCGAGTGCGTTAAATAATTTCTCTGGCAATTCACAGATGGAACTCAACGGCGGCGGATACATGTCGCGAGCGCAATATGAATTTGCGCAGCTTCGCCATGCTCCTGCCCTGCGGCATCTCGGTCTTTGCCGGAGTCGAGTTTGTCTGCTGTCCAAAACACTTGAAAGGTACGTATCATAATAACAATAATAATTTGTCAGCCAACGCGCGTTTCGTCTTCTCTCGTTAGCAAAGAGAGACTAGAGTAGTGTACTAAAGCTAGATACCGAGTGCATGACTGCAGCGAGAAGTTGCAACTACGCAACTATTACTCGCAAGCTCACTTTTATTATTATTCGACTGGCCTAGTTCATTGAGGTACATAGCGACAAGAAACACTGTTGCTGCTTTCTTTACGAGAGACTATAATTGAAATCGACTTGCGACTGGGCTCTTTTATTTTTTTCGAGATGCTCGAGCTTTCGCGCACTTTGATAATGCGGTGAAACTTATCATTAACTTAACTCAATTCGAAGCTGCACACATTGCCACGAATACAAGGCCAGCAGGCCACGCATACGTAAAAACTCGTACGTTGCGCTCGTTAATTACTGCGTCACCCGGTGCGCGCCTATGCAAGCTATATAATATACATCTATAGCTTGTGAGCGTGCGTGTGTACGTAGAAAAGCTGGGCGCATCACCGAGAGAAAGAGAGATGGGATTTTCGCTTTCGCGCATTTCCCCAGCTTTTCTTAATTAACGGTAATGAAAGGTCTTGCCACTGCCGGCGTTGCTGCAGCAGCGTATTAAAACGCAGGACTGGCACGAACGTGGATAAATAGAGCAAAACACAAACGCGATCGGGCGCTTGGCTTCGCCGTCCACTCGCTCTCTCTAACGACATAAAATAGCCAAACCCCTGCTCTACATGTACATTGTACGCCTATACGCGTATTTGTACGATATATATGTATAATCCACGTGCAAATAGCGCGACAGTAACTTTAATGAAAAAAGTTTTGCTTCTCTCAATGTAAATAAAAGCTTCATGGGCAAGAGAGAGAGGGAGAAACTTTAAAGTTTGAACAATATTCTCAAGAACAAATAGTACGTATATAGGTAAACGTCACCCGCGTTCGACTGACTGCTCTCGCGACTCGCTGCTGCAAGCCCGACGCAGCAGCTCCGCGTCTCAAGAAGAATAATTAAATGTTTATTATCCCAGCGGATGTCGAAAAAGTCGTTTTAGACACGAGAGACATTTCCCTCGAAGCGAACCGCACAGCTCGAACTTGACTCACTGAAGTAAATTTAAAAAAAAATTTTACTCGACCACCACTCGTCCGCGATCAGGAAAATTTCTACGATAAATTTTTTACTTCGAGCCGAGTATAGTGATGAATAATGATGAAATGCAGCTCTTGCAACGGTATAGCTCATCCCATTTGCCTCTTGGGAAACTCCAAAGTCGAGCTTTCTAACTCGACCTTTTCTCGATTTCTTTCGCTGGAGACTTTTTCGAGCGCAGCGGCCAAGTCGTGTTGCGGCAGTGGTTGCTGCACTCAGCAACGAAGCCAATAAACGAAATGTCTTTAATTCTACTGATTTGCGCGCACGCCTTTAATTAACTGCTCGAGTGCTTGCTCGAGCTGTAGCCATGAGCGTGTTGCAGCGGAGCTCGTACGCGCGCTCGAGCTTTTAAAAAATGAAAAATTTGCAACTGTTGGACAAGTTTGCAAGTTCTTTCTGATGCATCGGTAGCAAAAAGTCGAGCAAAAAAGCAGAGCGTATATAATATTATATGTACAGATGCGTTTGTGTGTGTGTGCGTGCGGTATAGAAGCGAGCGAGTGGTAGTGGTGCGCGCAACTCGAGGTGGTAGTAGTCTTTTAGCTAACTAAAAGGCCAAAAGCTCCTGCATATATATTGCTCTTGAACTGTGCGCGCACACACGCCCCAAGTTCAAAGTATAAACGCTGCTACTGCGCTCATCAATTAAAACTTAACGAGTGCTCCCGGTATACAGCTCTACGCGCGCCCACACACACAGACAGACACGTACACGCGTACATACGCTCACTGCACTCGTATTATACGTCTACGAATCGAGCTGCTAAGGTTTCCATTTTCCACAGCTGCGAGCTGTATACTCTCGCGTTTACATTATACATACAAATAGAGATTTTCCGTGTATCGACTATACACGTTCGGCTCGAACTGGAATCGTTAACGAAGTCACATATACTTGTACATAATATGACGCACATTATTTCTCTTGCAGATAACATGAAGTTGAAAAAGCACTTTGAGATGCACGTGGCCAAGCCCATCGAGGACGATTTCGGCGACGAGGACGAGGACGAGAACATAAACGACGAGACGGAGCAGGACGAGATGGCAGTTCCGGGGGCCGCTGGTTCCGTCGCCGGTGCATCTTCGGCCGCTTCGAATAACGCTGGCTCCGGCGGCATGACCGGAGCTGGCGTGGCAGGTGGTTCTGGCAGCAGCATCAGCATCGTGGCCGACGGTGACGTCGACGATGGCGGCGGCGACGACGACGCTGACGACGACTCGGACTCGTACGAGAACATCGACGACGTGCTCGGCGATCAGCCGGACGACGACGACGAGGACGACAGTAACGAGGAGTACTTCGAGGATTACGAAGCCAGCACGAGGTACGTCGACTCCTTGACATTTGCGACTCTGGAGAGTCAGCGCGCGCGACGACTCGCCGACTAGGCCGTTTTATCGGAGAATCGTCAAGTTTCGGCTTCGCTACATAACGAACGCAAAACCCGTATCTAAGTATTGATCTCGGGGCCGCCGGTACAACTGTACACGTTACGTACACGATCTGTACAGCGTAGCGGTTTTGCCCGAGAGCGGCGTCGGCTCGCTGCTATTGCCGTTGCCGAGCGACCCACCTCTACGCACACATAGCCGCGTGATTTAGCACCAGCGGCGAAATTAGTTGGCCTATATGCAAAATATTACAGCGCCCAGCGAGAATGATGAATCTGCGAAATTAATCCGGATATTTAGCAGAGCACGGGCGAGTTGTAATACCCGGATAATCCACGGCTAAAATATCAATCGGCCACACGATCCGTCTGTGTATCTATTTGTATAAGCGCGCGAGCCCGTCCTTTTTCGGATTAAATGTCACGACGTCAAGCTCGCGAGCTCGAAACAATAACCATAACGGAGAACGAGAGGATGCGTAAAGGAAAAAAAAAACGCCTAGCAAACGAGATACGCTTGTCGCGATCGCGACTATTCGTGCGCGCTATTATTGCAGCTGGTTGACGGCCTATCGCAGCAGCTGCGCGGCTCTGTTGACTCGGTCGTTTGAATTGCAGAAGCTCGTCGACGACCGGCCAAGCGATCACGAGCACGGGAGGCGCCAAGGACGGCAACATGGACAGTCCCGCGAACCCCGCCAGCAGCAGCAGCAGCACATCGGCTCCGGGCAGCTCGTCGACCGGCGCTGCTGGCCAGGCGACCGGTGGCAGCAGCACTACCCTACCGCCACAGATAGCCGCCTTCGTGCCGCACGGCACTCCCGATCCGTACTTGACCCACTTCGATCCTCGCTCGGAGCATCAGAGCTACAAGCAAGCGCAGATGAGACTGGAGGAGATTCACAAGGAGGAGGTGACCAAGGTAAGGCGATTGCAGAGCTTGACTTTGCCACAGCCAGCTCCGACGGACGGCTCTTCTCTCTCTCTCTATTCTCATTCTACGAAATCGGTCTCGCTTCTTGTCTCTCTTACCGTCTCTGTCTCAATCGATTTCCATTGTAATATACCTATGTATCGCACAATAGTCTGTGCGGCTCCTTTGTACATTATATCTCTATACCATATATAAGCTTATTATGTAGAGAGAGAGAGAGAGAGAGAGAGAGCAACAGCAGACGCGGCTCTAGATCCGCATTGTTTGGAGCTTTTGGCACGCTACATAACGTAGAGCGGCAGCTTGCGACGAGAGAACGGAGGACGCGGGTAGCGGACGGCCGATCGATGTTTGTGACGCGATGCAGAGACTACGTGCTTCAACTGGCCAATCGCAGCTTCTATACCTACGTATACGCCGGGACCTAATATTTTTTATGCGATTGGCATCTTTCTGCATCTTCCACTGCAATACTGCGCCCTGCTATTTCTTCGTTACAATATTCTACTAGCCTTTTACACTTTACCCGCGCCTAATGGAATATAATATTATATCTATATATCGCTGACCTGTACCGATGCGAGAGACGTCGAGTGTCGAGTGCTCACTGCTATAGCGTCGCTCTTGCCATTGCTCTTCTTTTCTCTCTTGGCGACGACGAAGACGCGCAAATGCCTCGACATAACCGATGTAAGAATATTTTCAAGAGATTTAGCGTCCATTTGCCGGAGAGGCACAATTTCGACTTGAAATATCGCTCGTCGACCTCAACTATGTCTGACCCATATTGCGCTGCATACGCGGAAAATATATGCCCATTCAAGGAGCTTTTCTAGCCAAAGTCGAGAGAAGCTGTTAAGCTCGTAGCTCGAGCTTACTCTACACCACCGCCAAATCGATTAAATTCAGCATTAAATGCGACTTTTCGACGAGCCTATTTCAGTAGAAATAAAAGGCAAGACACACAATTAAAAGTAATACGTGAGCGAAATAAGCCGTTGGAACGTTAGCATGAATAGGAAGATCTCCAACTAGTGGCAGCTTGCAATTGCACTTCTGGAGTATACTTTTGTTTGGCAGTCTTGACTCGAGTCTTGATCTCTCGCGTTCGTACCGCGTGCACACGAACTTGCTGCAAACATTGATACATTTATAAAAAAGAGCTTTTTACGTGTTTATTTCTCGCGCGCTCGCAACTGAGTGACCAAATGGCAAATTCGAGGCTGCATCTATTATATAGCAAAATGAAATAATGTAGGTACATACGAGCGACACTATAGTGTAGCAGTATTGATTCGAGCGTCGGAGTCATATAGAGCAATGTCAGAAAGAAGTTGTGCCGAGGAAATCCGGAGTTGCACATGGGGAGTTGCAGCGCATAGGAGAGATAAAATATAACGACGTGCCCGGCACATGCACACGCGCACACATGTACGAGTTTTAGTAAATATGCCTGTGCACAGGATTCTGTTCTTCTATTTTGTTCCGACTTTTCACCTTTGTACGGATACCCGAGCTCCTCTTGCTCCCCTTGTAAATGAACGAATGCTTGCCCGAGCGTAGCATACATTTATATACGAATATTTCATCAATTCGATATATCTCAATTACGATACGAAATTCTCTTTCGATATCGTCTCAGCTTTTTTCTTTCTATTTCTGCGCTCGATGCAAATTACAAGCGAGTCAAGTCGTGCTTTTGCTTTTTATACAATTCGATATCTCGTTACGAAATCGCTGTTTCGGGTGTTTTTGATTTCACGCCGCAGCTAACAATACTCGACGAGCATGGGGGCTCTTTTAAATCTATAAGGGTAGGGGTTTAACCCATCCCAAACCTTCAAAATATCATTCAATGCAGCCTTTCTTCTGACGATGGCTGTGCTACTAGATATCAAAAAGATATTTACCTGCCCGCACAGTGACGTTCGTGCCAGGGACTACATTTTTTTTCGTCAGCTACAGCGCAAAGAACGAAAAAATTGCTTTACCTCAATGTTTTTCCCACTCGAACAATGATTGATGGTGATATATTTTATTAGTAATATTTATTGGACTTGGACTTAATTCAAAGCTTAAACGAAGGAGTAAAAGTGAGCCGATCCTGAGAAAAGAGCGAAAGTGCACGCGACAAACTAAGCGCATTGACGTTATTATAAAGTTTCGAGCGAGTGGACTCGCATCCTTTGCGCGCGTACGCGACTTTTCACAGCTCTCAATCAGGCTCGGAAAAGCGATTGCCTGTCTGCACGAGATAGAGATAGGAAATTCGATAATAAAACGAGCGAGCATGGAGTTGGATCGCAATTACGATACATGTAGCGCCCTATATAGCTAAATCAATTTTCCTCGCTCGACGAACGCCGCCGTGATAAAAGCTCGACTCGCCGGTAGCTGGCCTGCGCAGCGCTGTGCTATATATTGTACGTGCTCCTGCAGAGGTGTATATAATGTCGGAGATTATGACTGGGGTTAAATCCAAAAAAGTTCCAGGACAAAGACGAATGAGTCGAGTTGAAAAAGTTTCTCAAAAAAGGCCTTTTCTCTCTCGCTGGCGCAGGTGATGAAAGATTGGAGCGATTTGGAGGAGCGATACCAGGACATTCGAGCGCGCGACCCCGTGGCAGCTGACGCCTTCAAACGATGGATGACCGTGAGATTCCAGCAGACCGTGGCAGCCCTCGAGGCCAGCGGCGCCGCCGAGAAGCATCACCTCAGCTCGATGCATCAGCAGCGCGTACAGGTAAGAAGGCTTACAGGCTATCCGAGATGCTAGAAAAAAAGAAGGGAAAAACTCGTGTGCTCGGAATATCAGCGATGACACGTTGTATACGACGCTGCGTGCGAATTTTCATTTGTTCACATGTTGCCGCTAACTCACGGACACGCGACTGCGCGCAGGAAACGGTGAAACAAAGGAACGAGGAAGCCATGTCCTGCTACACCGCCGCACTTAATGAAATTCCACCCAACGTAAGTACATTTCTATGTATATAAACGTCCACGTATGCGTGTATAGCATGTACATAGCATACATACATATACTTATTTGCTATTCTCGACACGGCCCTTCGCCCCCTCGGCGCCGTTTTGCCGCAGTCAAGCGCCAGCTCTGAATATATACATACAAGATGCATCATATACAACAAATTCATACTCCTAATACTATAAATACAGCATACATTTATTATTGTATCCGTGAATTACGTCTCTTTGGCCGTATCATTCACGGCCGGCTGCCCACCTGATATTTCGCCGATAAATTTGCACTGAATTATGTACTCTCGGCCGTCGAGTCGTCGTTTTCGTAATAGTCGTCATTATGCGAAATGCACGATCCTTCCGCGTCTCTTAACAAACTTTTGTCGCGAGTTCCAGCCCCAGAGTCAGGCGCCGATTTGGGGATAGTGTCCGAAACGGCGTAGAGATCGCAGGCACGTGCTCGATCCGGCTGCGGTTCGTTAGTTCATGAATAAATTACGATTGGCCCTTGCACGATCGTCCAGTCACACTAGCTATTATGTACACGAATACGTAGGCATTACGTACGGGAGCTTGCGTATCTGGAACATCATTCCAATGGATCGTGGCGCGCATCAGCGAGTCAAGACTGTTTGCCCACTCGAAGATGTGTATCGCGTATACGTAGTAGTAAGCTACAGGCTTCCATGATGTATGTTTCACGTCCATATACGTCTCTGTGGCGCATCCTCCGCGTAGCAGTGTACATTAGGTCAGCCGTGCGTGCAGGCAGTTTCAAGAGCTAGCTCGCGGAAACGCATCAAAGTAGAGATGATTTGCCTCTCTATTTGCTCCTTGAAAACTTATACTCGACAACGACTTTGGGCGGTGTATTAAAGCATCGGACTAAAAGCACATGCGTTAATTGGTCCTAGCGACGCCGAGTCCTTTTCTTTCGCTAGGTCAATTTTGAGGGAAAACGAAGAGGCTCGCGACGCAACTTTCAGCTTGTATACATACATTCAATCGGGCAAATTGACGTTTGTTTTTCGGCTCACTTGGCGCTCGCGAGCTCAGCGAGTTTGTCTCGCTAATTGCCATTGTATCGGTTTCCGATGCTCCGGTGCGTTACCGCCTCATTGGATTAGGCTTTCCGTGCCGCTACAATACGCCTGTTTGATTTGCCGCAGCGGAAAAACCCAAGCAGCGGTTTTGCGAGAAAAGCAGAGATGGAAAAAAAGAGAAATAATAGCTGCGGCTAGATCACTACGGTCCGCCTTTCCGCGCGTGCATGTACGTGGACCTGCTATATAGCTCTATATTTCGCTCGAGACTATTTTATATACACAAGCCGCGTAGCACACGTATAACGTATATGTACGCTACGCAAGTTGCGCCGCACACATCCAGAGGAATGAGGGAGAGAGAGAGAGATGAAAAAGAGGGAGCTAGAGCTGCAGCGCGAGCGGAAGAAAAATCTTGGGCGCGCTCGGGGTCGCGGCCATCGAGCCGCGCCAGAAACGAACGAAGAAAGGGAGCTAGCTGGAGCTGCACGAGCCGCGACGAGGCTGAGCAAGAAAAAAAAAGTATATACGTATATAGACAAAAGTATGGAAGAGGCGCCTTGAGCGCGCGCGAGACGCGAGTAGTGCAAGCCAATTCAGCACGTACATCTCTCACTGCTACGTTACTGCAATCCCTCGCGACCCATCTTCTTTTTCTTCTTCTTTTTCTTCTTCTCGCGTGCAAATATAGACGCGCACTGGCGGCTGAGGTACATTACGAGGGTAGCGCGTACACATATACATTTTCATACGTACAGAACGTGCGGATGCACACGTTCGCTCTCTTTCTCTGCCCCCACGAGTCTGCTGCCTTTTTTTTTTGCTTCTTTTTCTCTTTTTTTTCGTCGAGGCACACATGCAAATAGTAGGCTCGTACTCACGAGGCTCGTTTGAATTGACATTGCAGGAGCACCGCATCCAGAAATGCCTGCAGAAGCTGCTGCGAGCGCTGCACAAGGATCGACACCACACGATCGCTCACTACAAGCATCTACTGGACAGCAGCCTCGAGCAGGCCCAGCGCGAGAAGCCGGCGACCCTGGAGCATTTGGCCGACATCGACCGCATCACCAATCAGAGCTTGCAGATGCTCGAGCGGTAAGACGTCGCAAGCCCGAGCTCTGCTTTCCGTATCTAATCCCAGCCGGGCGCGCCACGAGCTGAGCGCATACACGAGGCGCCGCGGCGTCATTATATACCCTCGAGGAATGGAATTATCGGCCAGGCGTCGCGCGACTCGCGCGCGGTTTGCCGCCGCACCTGTCTGGCCGCGTGCAAGCACACATGGACGACGCTGGCTATCTGGCTAGCTCGCTGCTGCGGTGGCCGTATACGTGTTTTCCTTTTAACGTAGCAGGCTGTATCGGCGCAGCTGCAATCTATGCTCGAGCGCGGTTAATCGGGCTTCGAGTTTCGAGCCACCGCTACTACAACGCCTATTATATTTATATGTTATATATCTGCCGTTTGTGTACAACGAAAGCCCGCGACGATGTTTTTTTGATTGCCTGTTGGTTTCATTCGATTCGCGATCGCTGGGATATCTTCCCACAAATGTGCCCAGCACTCATTCGATTACGTAGTTTGTTCCGCGCGATCTCTTGCTACATGTAAATGCAACGCGCTCGTGACGATGCAGCGCAGCGTGTTTCTTGAGCGTGAGGTGAAAAAATATTGTGCATAGCGCAGGCTCGATCGATTTGGCGCATTGCTATCTCGCTAATCTATTTAAACTCGAAAGCAAAAATGTACCCAAGTCTTATGTTATAAAGTAGGAACTTGATACATTTTGGCCTCCGAGTTTGAAGCTGTACCTTTCTGCGCCGGGGCGACAATATACAAAGGCCGAGGGAAAAAAAGGGTCCCGTCTTCATAATGCATTCGTGGCAATATCGACTTTGTCTCTCCAACTCGCGGGGGAGTGAAGTTTGGAACATAGATGCGATAAAGTATATGCCGCGCGTTGCGTTTGCTGCTTTGTACACGTGCTGGAGAACGAACAAATGCCAAATTAGGAATTGATCCGATTGATACGTATCAAGTTGGAGCCGCTATCTAGCTCGCTGGGGTCGTGTCTTCTCGTTGCAGCACGTGGACCAAATTATCCGATAACGTCCATACGACTGTCATAAAATTTACGATTGTATCTCTGCAGTATGTTGAGGTACACGCACACGCATATTCAAAATGATAATTATGCAAGTATCGCGGGCGAAACTGGAGCTGGGGTGAAAATTTTCCGATGATTGTCATAATTTACGGGCGGTTGCGCGTGACTTGTACAGTACATAATACATATGTCAGGGACCCGCGTGACTATTCATCACGGGCAAATTATTTTGCCCTTGATCGAGTGCACAGCTCGAGCGAGAGCCGTCGTCGATTTGATTTTCGCGTTAATCGAGAGTCCTGCAAGTGCAGCCAAGCTAGTGCGGAATCGTGACTGTTGCTGACGTTGACGCTTGCGCAGAGTATCGAATTTATTATGAATATTGATTATTATTGACGCAGCACGCTTTGTACGCACAGGTACCCGGAGCTGAGCAGCAAAATCGGTAAACTGATGGATGACTACGTTCTGGCTTTACGCAGCAAGGACGAGACGCCGGGCCTGCTCTTGGCAATGACGCGAGAAGCCGAAGCCGCCATTCTGGACAAGTTCCAAGCCGACGTCGCCAGTAAGCAGCAGGGTATGTATAACGTATAAATATCTTTGCTCCATTGTCGCCGTCACCACTCTCACAGACTCGAGAAAGACGAGGGACGCGAAACAAGAGCATCTCGTATATATTTCTTCCTTATGCATTGAATAATTGTCGATCTTAACCGAATGCGTGAGCAAAAATTCACGACAAGCCGGTGGCTCTGAACTTCTCAATAAACCGAAACAAAAAAGCTCGTTTCGAAAATTATGATACGCGCTGAACGCGAAGGCTCTCGAAAGCAAGGGACAGCAATAATGCGCGTCGAACGCGAAAACATAGCGAGAAAAAAGCACTTGACCGCTCTGAATAAATAATAAAAAATATGTAGTAATTGAAATGGCGCAGGTCAACTGCTCAACGCCGCACACAAACTGGCAATACACGCATGCACATTTATGAGCGGAACAGAGTTATATTTAAAATCCACTCGATTATAATGCGCACATACACACATGGCAGGCGTACTGCCCAATAAGCGCGACGTTATCCTCTGGTCGGTTTATTACACGATCGATTCTTCGTCGACGAGGGCATACGTTCGCTCGCAGCTCGCTCGCAGGCTATATCCGTTGACGGCGCAGAGAAATTAATCGAAATCCTGGCGCAAACTAAGTGCGGACATGCCTCTCCACTTTGAAAACTGTCAAAGTCAGCTAGTCAGGCAGCTATATAATAGCGATGGCTGCAACGAGCTGCGAGCGAGCGTAAATTAATTAACGCTCGCACGCGGCTCGCCATTAAAATCTCAATCTCTCTCTCTCTCTCTGTTAAAAACCCAGAAAAAGAGCACCAGAAGCAGCTGGAGCGCGAGCGCAAAGAGCAGCGCAAGGCCGAGCGAGGCGAGCTCCGAAGCGAGCAGGAGCAGCACGAGCAGCTGATGGAGAAGCCGCAGCAGGAGCAGCCGATCATGGCCGCGCAGCAGCAGCAGCAGCAGCAGCAGCAGCAGCACGACAAGCAGCCGGAGCAGCAGATCCTGTCGGTCGAGAAGAAGATCGACCTGCCGCCGACCGTGACGCCCCTCAAGCCGTTGAAGAAGCAGCTCGACGAGGAGCAGCACGAGCAGCAGCCCGCCTCGGCGGCGGCCCTCACGGCTCTCAAGCACAGCGAGGGACTGATTCGCGCCTCGCACAGCATGACCCACGACGTATCGCACTCCGAGCCGGCAAGTCGCATTCGCTCGTGCTGCATGGCCCTGTCTTGAAAAGAAATGCCAGCTCATACGCCCTCGTTTGTTTTCCTTTTACAGAGCTATTCCGTGAGACGCGAGGTCTATCATCGCGAGAGCAGGTCGATCTACTTTACTCTGGCATTCGCCGGGATCGCTCTCATGGCGGCCACCATCGTCGGCGTCGCGGTATTCAAGAGGCGAAGCGCACGAAGTCCCCACAGTCAGGTTTGTATTCCACGCGACCACAGCCTTATAATACGTATTTGCACCGACTCGAGTCGCCCCACTGAACAGGGACGCGTCGATAGACACGCGACGCCGTATTGCGCATAACCCGCTCCTTTCATTGCTGACATTTCTCGGATCTTATCGAAGAACGGGCCGCGGTAAGGGCGCGCGACTCTGGTCTTGCAAAGTCATGCCGTATACGATATAATGCGAGGAGGCTGCATTTCGTACCGATTCTCGAGTCACTCGAGTTTAACGACTTTGCTCGTTGCTTTTCTGAGCTCGTTCCAGCTCGCAGGCGGACAATAACGCGCGTTATGAGTTATCGCCCAAACTGGCGAAATTTATATCGGATATGATCGATATATTACGGAATTTGCGCAGCCGTCGGCCAAGCTCCGCTTCTTTTCTCGCAGCACAGCTTCCGAGCTTTGGCTAGTTGGTCGCTACCGTAACGACGATATGCCACTTCTCGACACTTTATCCTACATATAATAGAGCTTTTTTTACGACTCGGGCGCGTGGCCGCGTTCACGTAGGCCCGAACGAGCCTCTGATTAATGGTCTTTCCCTCGGGCCTCGAGCGCGCGATACGCGGACTCGTCGAGAGTCAGGACGACTACGTTCCCCATCGACTTTTGTCCCAGGCACTTGTGCACTTTTCTCTGCCTCTTTGTGCGCGCCCTACGTACACAAAGTCGCAAGTTTTTCTCGCCTTCGTGAGCGGTAAATAACTTTTGCCTTGGGATTGCCGTGCGAGCGCGTACATTACGCAAGGCCACGCGAGAAGCATATTCGTTAATCGTCCCCCCGCAAACTCGCAAACTCCGCTGCTCCGCTTTACGATGGCGTCCAATTGTAAAGCCCCAAGTACACTCGAGTCGGAACAAAAACACACGAGGTCGAAAATTTCAAAGCCCGCGTGGGCGTGTTGCGTTTGTGCTCGACAGGGCTTCATCGAAGTCGACCAGGCAGCCTCGCCGGAGGAGCGACACGTGGCCAACATGCAGATCAACGGCTACGAGAACCCGACCTACAAGTACTTCGAGGTCAAGGAGTAAGCGGCTCGAGAGAAACTCCTCCGTAGTCCATAGGGCAGTCCCAGCACACACGTACGCGCACGCTGCAGCCGGCCACCATCGTCCTCGTCGTCCACCGTCGCAGTCGTCTACATCCGATCCATCCTTCCAGCTGCGCGAGTCCATTGTCACCGCTCCGGAAAGAATAGAGGCCCACCTCTCGACGTCCATCTCCATTTCTCTAGCGCAATAGCCAATAAACCTATCCTCTGCGTGTATGTACGTCGACTTATATATTACATACTTCACTCTCCACATCTACAGGGGACATGATTCATTCGTCCAATGGCTTATATAACTTAACTCGACAGCAGCGTTGATACGAATAGCTCTTACAATTTTGCATTTTTGAGTTAGACGCTCGCAAAGGTTCACACGTCGCAAAGTCCATATAATTTGTAATCCAGCATCGCGTTTCATACCCTTTTCTTTGTCGAGAGCTCCGTTCTGATAACAAGACTCCTGGGATGCAATTAATCGGGCGCATGAATATCGATGAGTGGCCACTGCCGATCGCTCTTTGTTTCGACAGCTCAAAGCATCCGAAACGAGGAAAGGTTGGCACTGAGCGAGCCACTCGTTCACAAGCTTGGCTAGCCCTGAGCAGAATCACGTATTGCTTGCGACTTTTTGTATATTCCAATTCAAGCAACTCTGTGGACTTTCGACGAGGCAATAGCTAAATTAATACCGGAGGAGGATAAAAATATGAAAGAGGTGTGAGAATAAATTTTGAAAATTTCATGAAAAAACGGCGAGCTCGAATGAAAAAAATCTCGACCAGAGCAAGTTTACTAATATAAAATGCGCGAGTTGTGTGGAGGCTCGGTGAAAGAAAGATAGGCTTCAAGCCGAGAAAAGGTGCATGGATCAGTCTCGGCTTGAGGCTTATTGACTGCTCGACCTCGTCGTGAAATAGGATACTTTATTAATATTCCTGGGTGTCCGCCGCGCACTCGACAGTTTGTGGCTGTTTCGAGGCATTTCTTCAAGCTCGTCGTCCTAATGCAGACCGAGGGACAAATAGAGAGTAGTAAACACTCCGAATATTAATAGAGAAGCTACAGATATATGAATGTTTGTAAATGTGATTTTCTTACCGGAGGATTACTCGCGCGACTTTTTAATCATTTAGCTTATTGCTTTTGCGAAAAATTCCCGCTTTTACACGTTTAATATCACTTATTATTTAAATGCCACTCTTCTGTTGGCTGTTACTTCGAGCGCTAACACTCGACTCATTCGTTTTAACCCCTTTCAACCCGACGCCCCCACCCGGATCGCCCCTACTCGTACATATATACATTGATATCGATACGATAACAAAAAAGAAAAACACATTCGAGTTTATAAATTATAAGCAAACAAAAATATATATTATATAACGATGGATGTATAACAAAAGTAACAAAAAAAGAATAAAAATAATAATAATACGATATTCACGACGCGGTACTTGATGGTATTAGCGCAGTTCCTTGAAACGATCCCATGACGGATCCTATTATAATAGCTTTAACAAAAATGAGGCAAGAACAGCATTGTGCAATAACGAGAGAGAACGCTGAGAGCGGGAAAAAATCCTGTCTCGGATCGGAGGCGAACTTACAAAAAAATAGCATTTTTCATTGGGTTGTTTCCAAGAAATACAATCTGTATATTTATCACACATACACACACAACACAATGCACTATTATAATTGTAATGTAATTTTAAAATCAGATTGCGTCCAAAGTTTAACACAACTAATTACTAAACTAATTAACCATCAATTTCAAGTATATACTTTGTAGCGAAGCTGAATTTTCCTTTCTATGTTGCGCACCTATACATATACCATTAAAATCAACCTTTAAAAATCGGCATCAGCGATGTAATAATTAAATAACTTTAACAGATAAGGGTGTACGCTACAGTAACAGATGCGGATAAGAAAAAAACATCTGCTAACGTGTTTCGAAATTTAAAGCAAAGGCGTATGAAACTCGAAATATTATTACATTACACATGAATTTTTATCGATTTAATAATAATTTATGCACTATGTATTGAGATAGCGAGCAATCGTTCAAAGCTACGAAATTACACTTTGATTTTGGATGTAACATTGAGTTGGATAAATATTTATAAGAACTCGTTTTGTTTGACGCACTTGGAAAAGTGTAAACTACACCGTAGTTTTAGAATTGTCAGCTTATTCAATACGATTAAAAAATATTGACACATGATTAATAAAAAGATTTCGAGTAAAAATGCGAAGCATAATCTTTAAAATAAACTTTGAGGAACCAAATGTATAGCTGTTTCAGTTTTGAAGAAGATTATAAAGTATATGATAGTATAAAAATTAGCTTATTTTGACAAATTGTTGATATTCAGTTTAAGGCAAATAAAACAAATGATCCTCTAAGTAGTGTTTTACATCGGGACCTGATGAGTCGAAAAAAAAAGAAACTGTAAAGATTCGAGTGGCATTAAACCGAGTCTGCCGAGTGAACGGAATTCAAAAGGAAAAAGCGTACCAACGTTTATATTGCGTCACGATAAACAAGCCAAAAATCGATCGAATTAATTTTGATTTCAAATCAAACTCGGCCCAGCTACGTTCGCTCATTTAACGAGAAAAATGCGTTTTCTCTCGCACAGATATTTAATTTTTCACGATCTTGAAAAAAACGTTATATAAAATTAAATCTTAGACTGAATATATCCAGCACGAGGAGCTTCTGAGCTTCGCTGCGAGCTTTGAATATTCACCGAGTGGATGTAGAAAAATGGCTTTTAGAGCAGTCAGTAACATACACTACAGAAATAAAAACATTATACTCATGAAATTATTTTGTTACGTCGTCCACTTATCAAAAAATTACACACATGAATTATCTATAAGATACGTTGCATCATCACCACTATTAGAAAAAAAATTATTAAACGTACTTGTTGTATGCTGCGTGGCTCGTAAATTGAGCAAAATGAAATGAAAAAAAAAATATAAAGCTGTCGTTTTCGCGAGGATTATTGATAATTGGTTCAATGACAAGTGGAAAGATTCATGTATGATTTTTAATAGTGCAAACCGAACAGTCTCATCTAAAACTTTTTGTAGAATCACAAAAAGTAATAATAATGGCGAACATTATAATTGCGATAAAAACAATATAAAACACTGGTTATTGATTTCGTTTAAAGTTGTTTACATATATACACATTTATGTATGTACGTATTTGTGTAAATGTACAAGTAAACTTACACACATAACACACATTATATAATCAACAAATATCGTGAATGTATGATTTTAAGTGTATACAAGGTTCGCCATAGGTGAAAATTATGCTTTTTATCATTTTTTAAAGACCTTTTTTTTAAATATTTACTTTTATTAATATAATTCTATTCAATTTTCATAATATCATTTAATTAAATATAGTTTTAAGATAATGCATTTTATAGTAAGGTTTTTTAGATAACATTTTTTAGATGTATGTGAAAATTTTTTTTATTGCAAATATGTTCTTAATCTAACTGTACCAGTTGTATTTATACAATTATCTTTTTGGCCATTAATCTCTATACAAAACAGTTCATATTTCAATTGAATCAACAATGAGATGTTTATATACATCATATCATCATAGTATTATGATTGCGTTAGAAGCTCATTATTTAATGAATAGATTATTGTTCATTGTTCGCTCATTATTAAGATATCTAGCGATTAAAGAAGTCTGTATAATAAATATTTCGTATATTTAAGTGCATGTGATTCATAAAAATCCAAAACTTCGGCAACCAACCATATAATTGGCTTTAATGTGTGTTTCTTTACTATAAGTAATATTATGTGCAATATTTAAGCAATGTTATAGCAAATTGTAATGTTCGAAAATAGTGTAAAATTGGTTCACTAGTACAAATTTTTGCTTAAGTCTTTTAATAAATATATTTAACAACAATGGTGCATTCTTTTTATCGACTTTAGACTACTTTTTTCACTTTAGTTTTACAAATTTCTTGATTAACTTGATTTGATGCATTACTACTCGATTTTGTAATACTTGTCCATCATTTGTGTTCATCGTTCATTATCACAAACAATGCCGATCCATCATTCTCTTGAACATTGATACCTATTCATTTGAGGAAAACGAACGTTCATGTACCGTTAAACACGAAATTACACTCGCATGCACATCGATGAAGAGGAAACAATCGGAGTAATATCCGATTTTACGATAACAAAGGTACGTATCGAATTCAGTTCGCATAAGTATGCAACAATTATACATTTGACGAAGAAAAAAAAGTATTAAACCCTCCACTCTCATATATTCGCTCTTCTGTTATTCCATATTAATTCAGCAGAAAAGTTTACACAACTCTGTATTGCAGCATACATTTTAATTCATTCGGCATGCTTCGTTAGAAAAGCAATAGAAAATTTCTGCATGTTTTCGCTTAATGAAATTCGATATATTTATCTGGCTTTTCTCATATAAAGTTGCAATTGGAGATCATTTTGTTGGCGAGCTCGAACGGCATAAACGCGTTACCAAAGCTCTCTCGCTCTCGGGCCGAGCGGGAGCTCACATCCATCTTGGAAATCCCCTCGAATACATTATCCTTTGAAGAAATAAATTGGCCTTGCGCTTTGAATGTCTCGTAAATCGAAACCGCAAATTGAACCTGGCCTTTTTGTTGTTCCTATAATGACGCTAGTTTTCGAAAAGAAGGAGCCATTACGAGGAGTTACTCGACTCGTCGCAATATACCCAGATTATATTATGATACTTGCTTTCTAGACGCGGTGATAACCTTACCTGCATTGTGCATAATCCTCCCGATACTATTAAAAATTCACATTATTATAAGCGTATACTTTAAATACGAAATGAACAAGTCTCGTGTGCTTTCGAGTCAACAATTTTTGTCTCCTGAAATTGTTTCACATTGTTAATCTTTTGCCGAATCAAGTAATTGAAAACTCATTACAAACTTGATAATATGTGCAATGACTTAAAATTTTAAAACTAACAAAAATAAATGTTGCATTAATTACAACTTTTTTCAAACATTATACAAATGTTGTTATTTTGCACTTTTAATCTCTCGATTGCCGTTGAAGCATATCTTTGTATACTTCGCAATTTTGTGGAATTAACTTGGAAAAGTAAAAATGTCACAATTTTGCTTCTTTTTTTATTATTCCTTTTTATAGTAGTAATAAGACTAAAAACCTTTGAAAAAAGTTTAAAATATACACCTATACACACGTGAGTTGAAGGGAATAGAGGGAGTAAAAAAAAATAACAGTAACAACGCGAACAACTGGAAAAGCGCTGCAGCGCGCAATATACATACATAAGAGGCCGCGCGAAATAACGACGAGCTGCAACATAGGAAACTTCCGCAGCAACGACAATTATAACAATGTAAAAAAAAGCAAAGAAAGAGAGAAAAGGCGCTAGAGCTTCAGAAAAATATTCCGTACTGCGATAGAGTGTAGCATAACGAAATAAAGGAAGAGAGAGAGAGAGAGAGAGAGAGAGAGAGAGATGTGGGATGTATATTGTTGCTATATATAGTTCTCACGGCCGTTCTCTAACCGAGAGTAAAAAAATAAAAAAGACCCACGTGATATTATGCACATAAACATATGTGTGGATATTATACATACAAACACTTGAGCACGTAATTATGTATTATTTATCTATGAATAGGCGTCGTGTGTGTGTTATAACAGTACAGCGGATGTATTTGCAGCAAGTGACATATATTTTTAAGTTTAGCTCAGTTATACAAGATTTTGCTGCAACTAAATTTTGGCTGATTTATGTTAAATCGAAACACATTTTATAATCAACTGATTATTGACACAGACAAAACAACTTGAGATAGATGAAATTTTGAAAATATTTGATTGTCATGTTTTCGGTTATAATAAAAAGCAAACTGATGGTTGTGTACTCTGAGTGTCAAGAGCGCACCAAAATTTCCCGACTAGAGGTGTACGACAATCGCGAAACATAAATTGGTCGTTAACCGCTGATTCGAAGTCGAAATTCATATGTACGCGTAGGGCAATATCGACACATACGATCGATTGCGCAGCGAGCCAATTATATTGAGAAGGAGCTTTTTTTAACCGATAAGGGAGGGGGGGGGGGCGAAAGCTGTGTGTAAGGGGGTCGTGTGCACCCCGAGAGAAGGGGTGAAAACTGGCGCGGAAAAGTAGACGACGAGTGCAGCGCAGGTATGTTGTGCGCGCGGGCGACCTGTGCCGTGCGAGTTTCGATGTTTGCTGAACAAACGTTCACGCGCACTGCGAAAAACTGATGTTTTTATTCGATTTTCTATACTGCAGCTGTCGTCGTCGTCATCCTCGCAAAGCATATTCGGCAAAAAAATTCTTTATTATTCCATTCAACACTCGAAGCTGCCGAGCTTGCAGAGAGTATGTACGTACGCGCTTAAAACTTGATAGAGAGAGAGAGAGAAAAAAAAAATCAAGGCCGACGCTGCAAACCATGTCGTACTGTGCCGTCGAATGAGAGGAACAAGTCGCGTAATGGATGAATCCTAATTCGCGAGCGACGAAAGGAAAAAAGTTGTACACGCCACTCACGCACATGTACCCATACACAGAAATCCAGACAAGTTTATGTAAAGAACTTTACGAAGCTGCCTCATACAAAACTCGCTGCTGCTCCACGGAGATTATAACGATGCTCTTATACTCCAGAAGTAATGAGCGCATGAGAAAGGAAAACAAGTAGAACAATCTTCCAGCACATGTATCCAATTTATAATGTATAGAAAAATTAAATTAACAAATTTTACCTTTGTCAATGTATTGAAAATGTTTTAAAATGATAAATAATAATGATTATATTGTGTGAATGCAATAATGCTTAAAAAACGATCGGTTCGGTTGCGTATACTTGTTAAGACGTGTGCGTAATCGTATATTTGTATAAGCCAGAAATAACAAAGTCGAGCTTGCTCTGTAGCTGCAGAGGTTTGCGATATAATGTATAGGTAAACGCGTTATACGTGCTTCGATCGGTGTCACACACACACACACATACACACATCATTTGCGCGTTAAAAAACTATTAGAAGAAAAAAAAATTGAAACCGCGTATTTACAAAAGTACCCTAATTACAATAGCTGTGTAGGTATGATTATCGGTTTTCACATAAAGAACGGACCAATGAGATGCGAGAGCAATTTTTTGCATTTTCAGATATTAATCGATCGACAAAAAAAGCACGCGCGCGACTATACTGCGCGCATATGGGGTTGAGTCGCTCGCACGACGCTCAGCCCTTCGAAACAGAGCCGTCCTTGAATAATGTTGTTTGTCATATACGCATTCGGCATTATACTTCTTGACTAAATATTGTATAAACGAAAAGATAATGAGAAAAAAATCCCTTAAAAGGCTATTTTGTTAGAAAAGGCTTTTTTACATAACACAAAAAAATGTAGAAACACGGTCGCGTCGAGCTTTATAATTACAAAAAAATATATGATCGCAATCAAAGATTATAATCGTAGATGAACTTTCCACGAATTTTCGCGATTCCGATCGGAGCACAATGCATCGAGGTTTTAGCTTAGAAATAAAGAAATTTAGGAAAGAGCACGTTGCGTGACGTTTCAGATATATCATATATTATAAATAATATATATTATTACATAAACATGTATATTATAATGAAATTTGGTTGCATCTATAGCGTTGCAATTTCCTATCTATCACTATTAATATAAAAATATTCTAGAATATACATGTCTCTATCTCATTATCATATTAAATATTTCAAGTATGACGTAAATGAGTGGAAAAAATAATTCGTATGTCTCGCTCAATAAGAAGTGTACTATAGCGTCGATGCATCAAATCACGCGTACACGCGCAAAATGTCTAAAACTCTTTGTTAAGATCTATATACTTATCGAAAATATATATACTTTATGTGAGCCGAATTTTCGCTAAATAAATGAATTTTAAAAACGATTCGTTGAATTTACTTCTATAGACCTATTACATTCTTATATATAGTTTTACATTTTTCTACTGCGTGCTTGGTCAATGATGTCAGAGAAAGTTTCGAGACATCAATTGAATGAATGGAAAAGATTTGGGAATAATGATAAGACGGCGATATAATTATTGAATTTTTGGTATTTATTACTGAAATATACTAAACATCTTTCAATGAATAAATTTTAACATAATATATCATTATAAATAGGAGAAAAATATTTAAAATTGTTTTTATTTAATACTGCTAAAAAAATTTTGTAAGAAATCTTTAGATTGCTGATTCTTGGATTATGGTGATATTGTGATTAGATTCCCTATAAGTATTCTTAAAAAATATAAACATCATTGTTATATATGATACTTAATATAGTGCGCTAAATTTAAAGTTATTTTTTATTTAAAATTTCAAGTCTTTACTTATTCAAAAGCTGTTTTTTTGTTGTTGAAAGTAATAAACCGTTAATGTATTATTAAAATTAAATAGTACACATTTACATTTAAATTAAAAAAAATAAGTGTATATAACTGCTCAACTATAATTAAAAAAGTAAGTGGAAGAAATTATATTTGATAAAACTGATATATGAACATAACAAAAACATTTACACACACATATATATATTTGTATATATATATATGTAATTTTAATATGTATTTTTATACAATAAAATTAATTTATATTATAAAAATCACTAGCATCGATATACTAAGGCTACTTCATTGTCAGCAAGTACGACACATTGATCAGAAAAAAGGATTAATGAAACGTTTTACAATAATGGCACTGTTTTAATATCGTATGTAAAAAAAAAGAAAATATTTGATTATGTTTTAATTGTTTACTTAATTTATTTCTCTTTTTTGTTTGTCTTGCAAATAACAAATTTTCAATTTCCAGGACCCTAATACTCGGTATCAATCTCTGGAAAAACAAATAATTTTATTTTCATCTACAACGTGCGTATAGTGACTTCGTGAATAATTATAACCACTACTTTAAAAAATGTTTTCCTTCGTACATGTTTTTTCCTCAACATTCGCATTTGACTCGATCAAAACGCGCGAAAACGTATCCTCGTGTATCACTAATAGATTGTCGGACAACGATTACATATCGAACGTGAGGCAACAAAATTTCTTTTTTTCGGATAATGTCAATTTTTTAAATTTTTTGTCCTTTCAATATATAAGCTTCTCTGCTTGATAGTTTGCTGCCTAACAAACACAAAAGTCTCTTTCCTCAATGTTAATCGACAAAATCTACTAATACTGGCAGCATCAAAGATATTAAGCCAAGTGTGTTTGTTCGCAAACGTGTGTGTTCGTGTACGTGTTTGTTTAAGTGTATAAAGTGCTTAGCAGTAATCCACGCTCTTTATCGAGCCTTGATTAGTGTAACAAAATAAATCATTTTAACTTCAATTTTAATGACTATTTTTCTAGCTTATGGCGGTGATGTCTCGTACAATAAATATCATATTCAAAATTTCGAATGAACAAAAAAAGTAACTTAATAGAAGTACGAAAAATATCTTAATATTATGATTATTTTATAGCATCTATAACATAAATAGGGGTGCAGCCTCCATGTTAAGGCCGATAGCTTTCCGCGTATATTTAAGAGTTCAAGATTTATAATACATGATAAAATAATAGGTAACAAGTATACATGAATTTTAATGATCCGGGCACGCGTTTATTAGTCTTGGAGCATGTGGACAAAGCTTATAGGAATCATGCCACGCCGCTCCGGCGATCGCTCGAGGTATCCTTCCATCCAGTTGTCATCGTCCGTGTGCTCGTTCGTCACAACGATGACATCACCTTCGTGGAATGACAGCTCGTCCTCGTTGTCAGCCTCACAATCGTAGAGGGCCCTACAGCGGCGCATTCCCGCGAAACCCTGCGACGAGGCTGGTGGCTGTGAATCAGAGGCAACATTATTTTATCAAATTTATTGACACTTTCATCGATTTTTTCATTTATTGGTTCATGAAATCTCTTGTCAGTGTTTCTATTCTACTCATACGCCACACATAACTCATTTTACTTTTTGCCTCAACTAGTTTTCATTGTGTCAGGTAAGAAGTTATATGACATTAAAATTGTATTTTTCGTTAAACATGATTTAACTCAACGATGTCAGTGAATGATAGTGGCATTTTTTACTCCTACTAGAAACGATGATTCGCACAGAAAATCAGTTTTAAAAGTTTTAAACGATAGATGTAATTAGTTTGCAATTTAAAAATATGATGCAGACTTAGTGACACATCAGACACTTCACTGCGAGGCTCTTACCCCCGAAGCCAATAAGTTTTCGTTTTTGAAGACGTTTTGAGCCACTGTTTGCAAACGAGATGATAAAATTTCTGGAAATTCTAAAAGTATTGCCAATTTTAACAATATCATTTAATGTCCAGTGAATCGGCATAAAAAATTAAAATGACTGCTCAGCTCTTAAAATTTTGGAGTATTTTATAATTTTATTTACGTGAATGAATTTTAAGAAAAAATTTAAGATGAAATTAACAATTTTACGATAATTTTCTCATAGAAAAATTATTATGATTATTTGTAATACTGTTAGTCGTGAAACGATGTATTTAAAAACTACTTTAACAAGCAACAACAGTTTTAATTAAGTTTCAAAGCGTGCGTTTAAACTCATTGCGCTACCATTTCACGCCCACAAAATTTACCTGCTAAATGGGTCTTTTAACGTTGGGAAAACGATTTTAACAGCTATACTAATATAGCAAACGTTTACCCTACCCGTAGTGTTTCTTTTCACATAATTTTTTTTCTATTCTGTCAAATTTTTAAGAATTGTTTTTTAAAATTTTTCACTAATTTTCATTCGTAAATTAAGAATAATCACAAATAACTCTTAAATCATTTAATTTTAATATTTTTTAACCAAATTGTTCGATTAAAATATTTAGCTTTATCAAGTTTTAGTTTACTTTCCATTATTAAAACTTCCATTGTTCTCTGATACTTGAAGTGCAAATACATAAATAGGATAAAGTGACCAGTTATGGGACACTAAAATAGCTCACTTTGCTCACTTATAGAAATTACGTAAAATACTAAAAAAAATTCAAAAAATACCACCTAAAAGCAAAAACAATAACCTTTAGAGTGAGCACATATGTACACTTGACCAAAAAAAACTGGTAAAATTTCTCAAGAAATGATTAAATCTGGAAAATGCGAATCAATCGTTATGGATCACTCTACCAAACCATATGTGACCCTAAAATATTACCCGGTTACATTTTGTATTTTCAAGGACTGAAAGCATTAAAAATGAACGTACGTGTTCCGCAATGTATAAGGAACTTCCTGTTTTTTTTCTTTTAAATAAAACACATGTTAAGGTTTTCTTCAAATGGTCTTAAAAAAATGTATTTTAATATTTATTTCGAAATGGCTATTAGGAGAAATTCGTGCACGAAATTTTTGATTTTCGTACACGAAAATAGGGTTATTCCGGGTTATTTGGAGTTTCGTTTACCAATTTTAGAATTTCGTACACGAAAATCACAAATTTTGTATACAAATTTCCCCTAAATAGCCAAACCCTTTTTATTTATATAAATAATAGCTCGCGATGATTCATAACTTTATGGGTAAGAGGTGGTGGTCCAAAATTGGCCAATTTACCCTATATCTCATTATTAGATACGTTCTCTTCTATTTAAATCATAATCCCTATAACATTATAATGCACTTTGTGATTTTAATTATGCAACAAAGGCATCATTAAACTAAACAAGCACTGTAATATTTGATTTGAATTTCAAATACTTGATCTTATAATAAGAAATGATTGATTAAGATTCATAGATTTACCTTTCTAGGTGGCGGTAAGGGATTGCCTAAAGCATCCAAAGCAAGTCCTTCACCTCCGAGGTCATCAAGAAGCCTTGAACTAGCCGCTGGAGATGAACTATACAGCCCCGATGGTGCAGGTGGCGGTGGGTTTCGAGGCCTTTGCAGAGTAGATGTATTTATTCCGATTTTGTCGATACCTGCATCAAAGTAATTTTCTATTTCACAAAAATTATTAATTTCTAAGTTTATATCATCGATCATCATACTAATTTTATCAACAATGATATTTTAATGACTTACGAGTCAACCATTGACGTTATTGACAAAGAAAGTGTGTACATAAATTTGTGGTTTGTATAGTGCTATGATAATAATAAAACATTTTTAGATGAATCACAAGAGATCTCTTATCAAATTTATTATAACTCAGATCTACTTAACACGATAGGATAGGGGTAAAAATAGAGCAATTTCAAGTAATAAACTGAATTAATTGAGCGAAATATTTTAATAATGTGTGCTATCAACTCCTAATTTTAAAAAATGTTTCGAATTATAAAAAAAATAAGATATACCACGATTAAAATATAATTGAAATCGATTAAAACCATTAATAATATTTTCAAAAATGACTCTCGTAACATAAAAAAGTAAGCTACTATCATTATTATAATTGAACGTTTAATTTAAACAAAAATGATAGCGAAAAGAAGTTTTTGAGTATGGTGTATTTTACAAAAATCAAAAACCAATATTTACATTTTTAGGATGAATTATAATGAAATAAACTTATTAAAAAAGAAAATTTACAATTAAAAGTATGAGAACGTGAAGAGAAAAAAAGAAAGAGAACACTATCCACAGGTTTTAAGAGATCATGGACACAAGCAAAAATGAGTTAGTCTTGGGCTTATGAAAACTTACGGAGATCGTCAACAGTAAGTCGACGTGAAGCATTAAAATCACCACTCGGCGATCTTTTGTGATTCAAGGTATTAGCGTGTTGTTGTAGTTGTTGCTGTTGCTTTCGCAAATTCTGAGGTGTATGGTAGTAGTACTGAGAAGTCAAAGTAGGCTCACTTGTGGTCCTGCTGTGGCCTGATGAGCTCGGTAAAGTACCGTAGTGTTGCACAGTGCCGCTCCCAACACCAGCACCACCTCCACCACCACCACCAATGCCACCGGTTGTTCCACCCGCACCACCGATAGTCGTGTCAAGCCCAGAAGAAGCACCACCGCCACTGCTGGACGAACCCAAAGTTGTTCCTGGCGGTGGTAGAGGTGCAACCCGTTTCTTCAGCGAACCGTGGAAATTAAGCGAGACATCCGGTACTACTGGTGTCGGGACTACAAACAAACGCGTCATTGCTTTTTGTGTGTTTGCCACGCCAGCAGCAATTATCGCGTTTATCATCATATGCTCACATTAATTACATTTACACAACTATAACCATCTATTAAATTAAGCAAAAGCTTTTTTGTTATAATACTTATGATAGGTTTATTGCGGTGATGCGTACTTTGAAGATTCTTTTTCTTTTTTTTAATCGTACCTTCGATGAATTAAAATGTAAGAATAATTTGATCGCTACTTTCGCATTTAAACTGACTATTACTACCATTAAAGCGTTCACATGCTTTGCACATTTATTGGACTATTTAAAAACAATTTTTATTAAAAAGTTGAAACTAGTAGCCATTAGGATAGTGATAAAACTCATGTAAATTTCACAACAAAATTATCGCAACAACAATTTTGATTGAAATTTGGTCGATTTTCAAATGCTTCTATTTCTGGCAATTTAGATCTTATTGAGACTATATTTTCTAGTTTTCTTAAAAATTTTTTCGAGTTTGAAGCCATATATATTTTGAATAGGTTTGAGTTAATTTCGAATTGTCAATCGCTCTCAAGCGCACTTAAAATAACAAAAAAAAATGAATCGTTCAAACGTGTACCTAAACTACAGCCATTTTTTTATACCATCTAAACTTACACCATCGCAAAGTATTCTTTTTGACGAATAATTTAAAAAAAAAAAGAGTTCTCTAACTTTTTTTGCGCCCTGTAGGCCGTTTTGAAGGTACCATTTAAAGTACGTAAAATGCCTCTTTCAGCTGAAATCGACTCGACCTCTTTTTTTTTTAATTATTTGTCAAAAAGAGTACTTTACGATTGTGTATGTTTAGATGGTATAAAAAAATGACCGTAGTTCATGTACACCTTTGATCGATCCATTTTTTCTGTCATGTTAGGTGTTACGTTTAAGAGTGACTAGTAACTCGAAATTGACTCAAACCTATTCAAAATATTTATGGCTCTAAACTAGAAAAAATGTTCAAGAAAACTAAAACAAATTCGTCTCGATAAGATCTTAATTAAAATAAGATCTTAGCATTTGAAAACTGACAAAATTTCAATCAAAATTGTGGTTGCGATAATTTCGTTGCGAAGTGTAATTGTTGCATGGGACAAAGAATAATTAAATATTCTATTTGCTAAAACTTTGTACTACAATTATTCTATATACATTAAAAGATATTTAAATTTTTTTTAAATGGGGGTATTTAATAAAATAAAAATTCTCAAAGGAAATCAAGGTAAGAGAAAAAAAAGATTTTAATTATTATTAAAAATATATAAGCATCAGCAGTAGCGCACACCTTCATAAAAAGCAAAATAAAATTGTGTGAAGGCAGTGAAGAACATACCTATAACTGGTTTTTTTATTTGTGGAGGTGGAGGGGGTGGCATTTGTTCTTTGCTTGCGCAATAGCCAGGTGATAAACCGCTTTGTAAGCTATCACAAGTACTACTTCGACTACGCAATGTTACCGGTGAATCTGTTACACCGGTTTCCGTACCTCCAGCATAAGATGGTGGGCGACTGCGTAACTTTTTTTCTGGAGTAGAACATCCATTCTAAAAAAAATTGTCAATAGTATAGTAATAATATTATTTATCTGAATTACAATTACTAATGATGCTTACTCGCTCCTCGATTATAGTCTCGTCGTCAGAGAAGTCTGTTGAAGCTTCGTCGTGTAAAAGGTTCCAGTCAATATTTACATTGTCGAAAAGAGTTTTTTGTCTTTGAAGTGCATGATTCAACTAAAAACAAACGTTTTTTTTAAATGATATAAATAGTCTCTCTTGAGAAAATTATAACAGTTAACTGACCAATTCTTGGCATGTGTGATGTCCCATTTCTTGAGCAATTTCCAAAGGTGTTTTCCCTTGTTTATTACGAAGCGTTGGATCAGCACCTGATTTTAATAGTAGTTTCATTGCTTCAGCTTTGTCATGTTTAGCAGAAAGGTGCAATGCTGTATCTCCTTCTGTGGTGGTTTTATCTATTGTGCCTGTAGGCATATTTTGAATTAAAAAGTCTACTATATGTAAACTATTTCCCATTTCTCGAAGAATGGCTAAGTGAAGAGCAGTTTCACACAAATCCTAAGAAAATTGAATATTAATAAATATTTGTACAGCATAGAATATAAAAAATATTTTAAATTATAAATTAATGTCCCAACTTACAGATGTTGGCAAACTAGCAGATAAATCGACATTTTCTGCATAAACTTGTAATAAATGATGTAAATCGCGATTATTTACAGCGTGCTCAAGATCAGACAGAAGATCTTGATCATTTACACAAGTTCTTGTTATGTATTTTTTATCTACATATTTGGCTCTAATGAAATCATATCTTTCTTCCCTATGAATTGAATTAAAATATTTCATAGTAAATCTAACACAATAAAGCTCATTGAAGTAATATTTTTATTGAAAATCAAAAACTTACATTGAAGAGGAGGGTTGAGGTTTAAAATTTTGCCGCAGCATAGCCTCCATAACTTCATTGAAAGCTGTGTTTGTCATAAACCTTGCTAACAATAATTGTGAAGTTCCTATATTATCAAGTGTTAAAGACTGTATTCTAGATATGTGGACACCTAAATCCCTGTGTATACCGCTACATTCTATGCATACAATAATACCAAAGTTTGTTGATAGCCAAGTTGCATCTGAAAGATATCATTTTAGATTTAAAGAATTTTAAATGAATTATGAAAGTCTAAAAATAGTTAATTTTTCATTTTTCTAAAATATGTTAATACATCATTGTATACTATTAAAATGCATAGAGGAAGTTATAAATTGTTTTTTATTGAATAAGTGAGTGTAGTTAAAATCTTTTTAAATAGCTCTATGACATACCATTCTGTGAAGAGCAGTCACAGCATCTATCATTGCCTGGTAACCTCATGACACATCTTATTACTGCTTGCTGAAGTTCAACTAAACTAGGATTGCCATGATTTGCTTCAGGTTTTCCACTAGCATCAAAAGCTCTTAATAAAGCACGCTCTTTACAGTTGACTAATACAGACATCCATGCTCGTTGGTCTGACTCGTCTTCTGCTTGAAAGTGATAAGTCCTATTATCTGAAAATTCAAATTTAATTTATTATTTAGCAGTAAACTTTTAATGTTAATGTATTTTATTTTTAGTTAAACTACTTTAGATAATTAATTTAAAGTAAAGTATTGAAATTGTATAAAAACTTACAACTTATAAGGTCAAAGCTTCTTTTATCATCAGGTACCAGTTTAATTTGGCACGTTAATAAATTCACTCTTGTAGGAGGTTTGCTTTCATCAGCATGACAAATATCTAAATAACCTTCTGCCTGCACTGAACATCTCCTTTTTTGCCAAACTCGTCGCATCTTTCCTTCACTTTTTTTCAAAAGATGACCTGTACGAGTGACTCCATGTTGTTTATCACCTTGAAGTTGATGCAATGAATAACCACTACTTGCATTTGTATTCAACTGATAAAAAAATTAATTTAGTTAAATATTTCTTTGTGCATTTCAAAGTAATGTTTTTTGCTTTATGAATTCATTAAGTTTCAAAGTTAAAATTTGAATTAATTAGATACCTCTTTATCACATCCAGAACTCCTTAAAAGGCTTCTAAGCTCTATTAATCGCTTTCTCTCTTCATCTTGAGCCTGTCTTATTTTCTGAAGTCTCAAGCTTAGTTCAACAACGTAAGCACCAAAGTGTTCAATGGTTTTTAGTCCATCTTGAAAATAACTAAAGTAATTTATTAATAATGTAAAAGTGTTCTATATTTACTATTTTTAATGGTTACATATTCACATACTTTGTTTGTGCATGATAATATTCTACTAGATGTTGAAGAAGCTCTATACCTTTTTTTGTTTTGATTTCATTAACTTTAATTAAATACTGGAATTATGTAAAATAAAGTATTATTAAACAGTTAGTGAAAATAAAAATTTTTATGTAATAATAAAGTGATCATACTTCACACATTTGTAACTGGAATAAACGTCTTTCTTTTTCCATTTCATCTGCAACTTCTGCTGCAGTGATTTCTGTACGTATGAGGCCAGCCTCTTTTGCGTGTTGTTTTTTCTCTTTTTCAATTTTTGCATACTTTGCTTCATAATCTTTCCAAGCTTTATCAAAAGGCCTTTTCAAATCACCTTTGACACCTTTTAAATCTCCTTTCAATACTGAGTCCAATGGAAACATAACTATGTTACTAATATTTTGCATCTATAAATAAAGATATTGTAAAAGTATTTCCAATTTATAATATCATTTAAAACTAGATAAATTATTACTGAAATTATATACAATTTCCTCACCAATGTTTTCATTAACGCACTTAATTCTTTGGTAACCACAGCAAATTTAAGAAAAGCTGCTCCAATATCTGGTTCTTGTTCTTTAAGTGCAGCATCACCCAGCCTCTCCAAAGCTCTACCCAAGTACATTTCATTGTCAACATGAGCTATAGTTTGAAAATTAATTAGTGATCAATTGAGCATATTGATAAAAAATTTATTCACTAAATAATTACTTACCATTTCCTGAATTATATATCGCTTTGATTGCCTTTTTAAGTTTGGTAAGGCCATCTCGATCAAAATCAAGAGACTATTGAAAATGAAAGATTTTTAATGAACAATATTTCCAGAATATTCAAGAAAAAAGTATATAAATTATAGATCAATTTAGTAAAAATAAAAATAATTAAAATACTTATTTGTTTCAAATTTAAGTTGATTCCTATTGTTTATTAATTCAAAATGAAACTACCAAATTCTATTCTAAAGATGAAAGTTGAGTTTTTAGTAAAAATTCGAAGAGTTGTATGAGAAAAAGTATGATTCCTGTACATTCAATGTGAAGTTCTAGTATCTTTACATCAAATTTTTTTTTTTATATAAATGAGTAAGTTACAATGAAAATAAATATTATGATGTTCTAATTAATAAAAATGATTCAGTAAAAATGTAACTTTTTGATTATGTGTCGTTTAATATTTATAAGTATAATGAAATAAAAAATAGAAAAAAATAACTGAAGTTCACAGCAGAAGCTTTAAGTATTATTAGATTATGAGAGAAACCTTGTTACAAAATTCAAGAAAAAAGTTTGGTATTCTTGAAAAGTCATTGCATAAAAATAAATAAAAAAAGTGAATAAAGGAATATGCAATTAATAGATTTTTTAGAATTTCACAAAGGCTGATAAAAGCAGATTGAGAAAAGATAAGTATTACCTCTTCAAGTGTGGCAATAGTAGTTCTACATTGTGGCATCCTTGAGACAAATGTTGATGTTGTTGGTGAGTTGTAATCACCCTTAGTCTCATCAATGAAGTCACTGACAGCTATGAGGCCTGGCATTTTGAGTGTCGAGCGTTGTCCTAATGTATCGAGAACTTTTCGGAACTTGAGGCGTGTGCAATTGCACTTGAAGAAAAGAAGTAGATGAGGTACAAGTCCTACAGAAAATTATGTTTTACGACTTGGTTGCTACAGCTCCGGTCTTCTGCTCGTTGACAGAAGTCTCAGTGCTGAGTGGTGGCTTCGGCTGCTGTAGAACTGCGTCACGATCACAAAAATCAGCTTGACAGCCTTTATGCTGCATACACAGGGGCGCGCGCACTTAGCTTTCGCTTGTCGCCTGATGCGTACTTTTTGGCAGCGCTCCACTAATTTCCGCACCTAGACACATGAATCGAAATACATATAAATTAATTATGTGCGAGTGCAAAAACGCAATAGTCGATCGGACACGTCACATGCTCGGATAATATGGGCGCGTGGGACTAGCAAAAGTTTTTTTCGCATTATACTGATAAACCAACAAGTCGACAGCTCGCGAGAGCATAACAGTCCACTTTATATATATACACTATAGTGTATAGATGTGCAGAGAGTACTAGGTGTGTGTATTTGTGAGCGTATGTCTGTGTTGTGTGTATAATTGTGTGCGCGTATGTGCATGTATACAAACTATATACAACAAGTCGTCGATTCACCGCGGCACTTCTAGACTCTGCACTGAGGATAGGATAGCATAGAGGAAGAAGCAAAGCAGAGCGCGGCTAGTGTGCAGAGTGATGTATAAAAAGAGGCGCGTACACCAATCGATATATAAGTACGTACGAAGCGTATACATATAGCTATATGTACACATAGGCATAAACACACAAACTCACCGACGAACTCACATATAATGTACTTGCTCGCCGTTCCTGCCGTATGTGCTATGCACATAGGAACGAATGAATATCGTAATGTATAATACACATAAACTTTGTTGCAAGATATAGGTATGCACCTACGTATACGCTGAGCCTCGAGCGCACTTACACATATATTACGTGACGATGTGCATTGCGAACGGTAAAATAATACGCGACTTCGATGACCAGTGTCCATATATGTACTTGTATGCACGGCATAAAAGAGACTAGGGTTAATATATATATAATATGTAAAGAGAGAGAGAGAGAGAGAGAGAAGCGAGTACCATACGATATAGCGGAAGAACTGTCATGCACATATATACATGGCGAGGAAGAGAGGCGGAGGTGGACGTGCCATACGTCCATAGACGTAAATAACAATGCATCCTCTATTTAGCACTCGAGAATAAAGAGCCCTGCCTGGAGATATGATGCAGTAGCAGCAACAACATGAGCTATACCCGATAAATTGATGCCTCTTTATAAGCACGTATGTGCGTAGAGGATGTAGGTGTTTGTTGCAGAGCACCACATAAATGCAGAATGTGCAATAGATGTGCAGAGCGCGAGTCACGTCTGATATACACTTGGCATGATGCTGGTACTTACCGAAAAAGAGCGACAACTGCTACAGTTGCGTCGTAATTATTATCTTTGCTCGGCGTCGTCTTTGTCAACGTTAATGACTCTGATGATTGCAGTGCCGATAAGTTGATTAGCTGTATCACACCGGCGATGCCCATGCTATCGGAATCTTGATCACGACTACTGCAGGCACGAAAACAACGACGACGACGGTGCACAACGTTAAAATCACTCTCCGCGCGTCGCCTGTTTACACTGCCTGGCGTATGTATTATTACTATTAATATCGACGATAAATCGCAGCAGTTGCAGCAATTGTGCCGATGAGCAGCGGCGGCGCTATTACGTTTACATTAAAGAGAAAGCGCATGTGCATTGGCCAAAAGACAGGGTAAAAGAGAGAAGAGCAACAGCAAGAGAGAGAAGCCGCGAACGCACTCGGTGTACAACAATATATTATATCTTACGCACACACCCCTGCTATGTTATGCGAAGAGTTCTCTTTCTTATGAAACGGTTCACGAGCACAAGCGACGAGACTACGAGCATATGCACGACGATATTATGCCGACGACGTTCCAACTGAGCGCGGTCTAGCAAAGCAGCAGTGTGCACACCTGCGACTCTTGCGACTCCTGCAACTTTGCGTGACGCGCTTGTTTACTCGCTAATGTCGCGGCACTCGTATAGGATGCACTTGGACACGACTTGCTCGCACCTATGAAAACACCGAGTCGAGCTACGAGACAAGCGATTCCGCAGTTGCGCTAGCTCGCATCGACATTCAACGCACCTTTTTTATTTTTATTTTCATTACAGTTCGGAAGTTTCGCGATGGACCTTCGAGGCACCCTTAGCTGTGACCTCGGCAAGATGTGCAGCACGCACCCCGCTTAGGGTGTGTATCTGCACGTTGTGCGTGTTTGCGTGCGAATATGTGTACAACAACAGCGATGCTGCGCTGCGAAAAATATCCAGCACATATAAAATATACGAACGATGGCAGCCGCAGAAACAAGAGAGAGAGAGAAATGCTCAAAATTTGAATTGTTGCCAATGCCAATTGATTGCGCGTGACTCCACCGCGAAGCACGTTTATTGGCGCATCGCGATTTTCTTCAGCAAGTTCGCACTTTGTTATATATTTGGAGCACTACCTACAATCAACATTATGTTATATACACAAGAAAAACAAATCCGTAACTTTTGGTATAAAACACTCGATAGCTTTTAATACGTGTACCGTGATAGCGAGTAATCGATCACTGTAGTTCGCATTCGATTCATTTGTACTCGACTCGACGGTACCTTCTCAACTGAATTTTCACTGTACCATGATACAAACTCTTAATAGTCGACTGTATTACCAAAGGCAATCTTACTGGACCTGCTGCAGAGGGACTCTCTCTCTCTCTCTTTCTGCGCGTTGTATCTTTTGTTTTCTTCCGCTCTCGCGGTTCCTTCCCTTCGCTCTCCCTCTCTTTAAGACCTTTTGTTTGGCTCTTGGCTCAAAGAAGATATATCTTGGCGGGCTACGAATGAAAGAGAGAAGGAGAAAAATGCTTCCACATACACATACAATAGGGTATATATATACAGTATACTCACACCTATATAAATTCGTATAAACGGTGAGTTCTATACAAAACACATCGATATATACCATTGAATTTTATCATTTAAAATTTGACGAAAGTAGATTCATTGCTTGACTAGTGTGTTTCGGTGTTTTTCAAAAAAAATGTTGAGAAATTTTTCATTTTTTCACGGTAAAACATAATAAGTATGAACATCGTATTTAATAGCTTTCTCGCCTTATAAATATAAATAACATAAGTATGTCTTCAGTATAGTTATTGATGCAACAAGTGTCAAAGGCATTTTTGTGTACAGTGTGCGCAAACAAGAAAAGAGCGACGGCTATGCTAAACATTACATTTAATTTGTTTTAATACTTCAGACTGAGTAACATTAAAGATTATACAAAAATAATTTTACTGGATATCAAATATTACTTACAAAGAGACCACTTCAGCTTTGGGTGACGAATATTTCCCAAAATTTTTTTGGGGTCTCCTTGTACATAATAATGAAACTCCCTATACTTACAAGGAGAGCTTTTCAGGTCCAGGTCACAGATCTTTACCAAACTTTTTTGGAGGTCTTCCAGATTATAAAAAAATCTTTGTTATTTTCTATATTGATATAGAAGTACTGAAACGAAAAAATGCAACGATCAAACGTTTTTTAATTTTTCAAAGAATCTGCTCGAATTTTTTCAGAATTTTTGGGACCATCTATCACTCTCTTATTAGAAGTCCAATAATCTATTAAAAAAGCGTCAAATTTGGGCCTCTTAAATTAAGTGATAGATGGTCTCAAAAATTCTGAAAAAATTCGAGCAGATTCTTTGAAAAATTAAAAAACGTTTGATCGTTGCATTTTTTCGTTTCAGTACTTCTATATCAATATAGAAAATAACAAAGATTTTTTTATAATGTGGAAAATCCTCTAAAAAATGGGCCCTAAGGCCCATGAGATCAAACTAAGCACAGGGAGCTTCAGTTTTGGATACCAGGAGACCGCAAAAAATTTTTGGAGCAAATCCATCACCCGGACCTGAAAAACTCTCCTTGTTAGTTTTATCCCATTAGCCTTGAGGCCCAATTTTAAAAGCATCCTCTATTTTATTTAAAAATTGTTGTATTTTTTTATCCCGAAATAAAAGATTTTGAACAAAAAAAATATCAAAAACAAAAAAGTTTTTAAATTTTTCAAAGAATCTAACTAAATTTTTTCAAAAATTTTGAGACTATTTATGACTTAATGCGACAGGCCCAAATTGGACGTTTTCTTACATATTTTAGAACTTCTTCGAAAGGGTATTATAGGGAGCTTCATTATTAGGAGACCCCAAAACAATTTTGAGAAAGATTCGTCATCCCTGTGACCTCCTTGTTAGCATTTATGTTTTGCAAAGGTCTCATCAGTTACTTTACAAATATTTTTTTACTCAAAATGATAATTTTAAATAAGCGTGAATAAGATTTAAAGTCAAAATACTGATCGAGCAACTTGAGTTTGTGTTAGATTTTGAAGTAACGTAACCCATAAACCTTAAATGATAATCTTGCCAAACAAGCTATCAGATCCTGTATCCCTCATCTACTACCTCACTCAGACTTTTTACTTACTCTCAAACAGCTAACACTCATTTGAATGACTTTTTTCCAAAACAGACACCGAAAAAGGTCTATACTATTTTCAATAACTTTTACAATAATTCAAAAAAAACTTGGTTTTACGAAATTTCATCCACTCTCACAAGGAAACAAATAACTTTGTTCTATCGAATGTGTGGTAACCACTAAAATCTTGCATATAGTCTCAACAGAAAGAATCTCGCCTCATCTCCTTGGTGCGAATGCAACGAGGATTATGAGGACCTCCATCATTTATTCTGGTCCTGCTCTAAGCACTCCGTCCCCCACACTATTTAAACGTCCAATCTCATCAAAAACAAAAAATTTCCTCCATATACCATTACAGAATTTTTTCTACAACTAAATTGACTCTTACCCATTTCAAAATTTCCCGCCTTTCTTTCATATATCTCGCTGGTTAATGGCCGTATTTTATAACCGTGGATAACCCCACTAGACGGAGCCATAGAGAGAGAAGAACAAAAAAAAACGTCTTGTATAGTTGTATGCATCATCTTCGCGGTAGAATTGCAGCAAAATAATTCAAAGTAATTTTTTTAACAGTTTGTTGAATTTATTGATTTATGCAAAATAATTAAAATTCATTTATACTCTTCTTGATATATTATGTCCCCTGTCAATCATTTAATTTTTAATAATAGTTACTTTATTTTTACTTTTTTACATGTGATATTGTCATTTGCTCTTGATTGTTAATTCTTTCATCGCTGTTTATTTTAGATGCCTTCTGTAACTCTTAAGGATGTGGATCAACACAAATTTACAAAAGCCTTCTCAGCTTTCTTGAAGAAGTAAGTTCATTTTCCTTTTAGTCATAATCTTAACCTTTATATTATAAAAATTTCATTCTTAAATGCTTTTCAAATGAGATATATATTTTTATCATACTGAATAAGTGTATGATTCAAATGATGACATTTTAAACATTCACTTACAACTAATTCTTTAAACATAGAATTTTTAAATATCCTATTAATTTTTTAGAACAGGTAAAATGCGTGTTCCAGAATGGGTAGATTTGGTCAAAACAGCTCGTTTTAAGGAATTGGCTCCTTATGATCCTGACTGGTACTATACAAGGTGTGCTGCCATAGTGCGTCATATTTACATTCGCAGCCCAATTGGTGTAGGAGCAGTAACAAAAATTTTTGGTGGTCGCAAACGTAATGGTACTCACCCTAGCCATTTCTGCAGATCAGCTGGTGGTGTAGCCCGTAAAGCACTACAAAGTTTAGAACAACTCAAACTTATTGAAAAGACTGCTTCTGGTGGTCGCAAATTAACTGCTCAGGGTCGAAGAGATCTTGATAGAATTGCAGCTCAAGTTAAAGAAAAGAGCAAAAAAAACTTAAAACTACAAGAAACTCTTGTATTGTAAATTAATAGATCATTAAAAAAAATTTAAGTTACTTTATTTTGTACATAGACATTTTTTTATTTGTACAACCATAATATTTTATATCCATGCATATATCAAGCCTTTATAAGCATATTTTGTAACATAAATATAATTTATACACATAAATTAAAAGGCTTAGATAAATCATGAAAAACTTTCTTGATATTTCAGTTATTTTTAATGAAATAATTATATCAATTAATGTGGATTTTGCAATACTTTTTCATTGTAGATAAAGAGCGAATGAACTGTGGACACTTCAAATAACTTTCAAATTTCTCATTTTAAAGCCTAAAAATGATATTATAGAGCAATATATAAATATTTTATATGAACACATAGGATCAATCTTATGCTTCAGGAATAATGTATCAAAATTTTACATAAATTAATGAGTCAATACATTAATAATATGATGACATTGTATTGATCAGCAGAAAATAATATTTTAGAATTTTTTTTTATTACATCTTAATATAGTTTAAATTTTTATCTACAAAGTCACAGGAAAAATAATAACATTTTCTAGTGAATGGTATTGTTTAAAAATTTCTCAAGTGTAACAAGTTAATTACATAAAAAGATTTTTGAAGTTTCCTAATATTAGCACATTTACACTTACTACAATTGAAATTTTTCAATCAGTATTTTTTTTTAAATATGAGTCAATTCTTGAATCTTATAATATACCTTATCGTTTTTCTTCAAATAAGAAAATTTTAAATTTCATTATAGTAAGTTTCATTTGTTGAAAAATGATTTTTCTGGTAATTAAGATTTGTTCAAATCTATTAATTAAAATAATTTATTATTTAAAATACGTTTTTAATTTGTAGTCTGGATACTATCTGGTGTCTAATAACTGCCAGTTTATTTTAATGTTTGGTAAATGTGAGTAATTAGCAATTTAATAAGATTTCAAATGCAACTATTTGAACTATGTACTAATATTGAGAAGCTATTTTACGACAGGCCAATAATAATCCTTTTGCGAACTTTTTTAAGCACTTGAAGTTGTCATAAAAAATATTTCAAATCTTACACAAGAATGTGATATTTTTTTAAACATCAAGTTCTTTGACTTTATATTAGTAAGATAAACTTAAAATGTTGTAAAATTGTTACATAGATTTGTGGCTCAATCTAGCAGAAATTTGAATCAAAATGAATGATTCAGAATTGTACCAATCAAGGAAACTCGAGAAGCATATATAGGACACTCATGAGTCATGACTAGTCGGGTAATGTTGGGACTTGGGAGTTATAGGGGAGTGTAACACTGATAGAAAAGGATAAGACACAGAGGCGCTAACGCTTGCAATTTCACATTTTAGAGTCGTTCGCGCAGCGCTAACCTCCACAGCGTCCACATAGACGCCGAGATACCGCTACGTCAACACGGGTTGTGGAGCACACAAAATTCATTCGAACGCTGTGAAAACAAGTAATATCGACACTATAGAACAACCCCGTGCACAGTAAATACTACCTCAGCCAATGCTAGCTGAACTAAACAATAATATTTACATTTAAGTGATAATGTTGTAGAATATATATTTGCGCAGAACTCGTATTTATCGTACGTATTTGTCTCGCAACCATGAGTTTTTCCAGTGACGAAGTGAATTTTCTCGTTTACAGATACTTGCAGGAATCTGGTGAGTTCCTTAACAATTTATAATATCGATTCCATAAATTTTGACATGTTTATTCATTTTTATTTTCATTGATCCTTAATATGTACAATAAATTTATTCCTCTTTTTATGCAGGCTTCCAACACTCAGCTTATACTTTTGGTATTGAATCACATATATCTCAGAGTAATATCAATGGTGCATTAGTTCCACCTGCAGCACTTTTATGTGTATTACAAAAAGGTTTACAATACACAGAAGCTGAAATTTGCATTGGTGAAGATGGCACTGAGCAGCGTTTGGTGGAATCTCTTTCACTGATTGATGCTGTTATGCCTGATGTTGTTGCAGTAAGACAACTTCAGCAACAACAGCACTATCAAAAAGCTCAACTTAAAGCTGAAATCCCAGATACTAATGGTGAAGAAAGTAAGTTCTATAAGCATTAATTGATATCTTTATACCTGGCTCACCCTGGTTTGTAAATTATCAATATTGCAAACCTCCTTCCAAGCCAGGAAGATGAAATTGTTTCAAACTTTTAAGAGATATCTAGAAGTTCAAAAATTTTCTATTTCTATTTTTTTATTTTAATTTTATTGTTTTATTTTAGTGAAATTTTATTAATTCTAGTGATCTATAGAAAATTTTTGAATGAATTTGTAGAAATCTATTGGTTTGAAACAAACACCATATTGAAGAATAAAAAAATTTCCTAAATCGATTTTGTAAAAAATTGATGTTTATTTCTTTTCTACAATTAATTCTTTTGAAAAGAAATGTTGAAATATAAAAATTTTGTTTTTTGTTTTAATACTATAATAATCAAACAGTCAGTTTTCCAAAAAATCATTCTATTTTCATTAAATGAAATAACTTTTTCTTTAAATTCTAGCTGTAACATCAAATGAAAGTGCCAATACAAATGAAAAAGCATCAGATCGTACTGATATGGATGTTGAAGAAACTTCCCAAGGCCAGGGTGGTGGAACAAATGCCAATTCCATTAAAATACCAGCTAACAAAGCTACTAAACTGTGTGGTCATGAATCTGAAGTATTTATTTGCGCTTGGAATCCAGCCATGGATCTTCTAGCATCTGGTTCAGGAGACAGTACAGCTCGTATTTGGGATATGTCAGATAATTCTCAATCTCCGAATCAATTAGTTCTGCGTCATTGCATTCAAAGAGGGGGTACTGAAGTTCCAAGTAACAAAGATGTTACTTCTTTGGATTGGAATGTATGTTATCTTTTGGGTACCATTTATTCATTATGAACAGTTAATTTATTTAATGATCTTTTTTTCACTATAGTGTGATGGTACTTTACTTGCTACTGGAAGTTATGATGGCTATGCACGAATATGGACAACTGATGGTAGATTAGCATCTACATTAGGACAACACAAAGGACCAATATTTGCATTAAAATGGAACAAGCGAGGAAACTATATCCTTAGTGCTGGAGTTGACAAAACAACCATCATTTGGGATGCAGCTAGTGGTCAATGTACTCAACAATTTAGTTTTCATTTAGCTCCTGCGTTGGATGTAGATTGGCAAACTAATACATCTTTTGCTAGTTGTTCGACTGATCAATGTATTCATGTCTGTAAACTCAATGTTGATAAACCAATTAAGAGTTTTCAAGGTCACACTGTAAGTCTTCATTTGATTACAATTGTCATAAGAATATTATCTATTTAATATCAATTTCATTGATTTTAATTTTTTACTTGAAAAAAGTATTTGATTAAATTACTATTTACTACAAATTTTAAATTTACCAATTGTAGAACGAAGTAAATGCTATTAAATGGGATCCTCAAGGAAATCTCTTAGCTAGTTGTTCAGATGATATGACATTAAAGATTTGGTCAATGAAACAAGACAATTGCTTGCACAATCTTCAAGCTCATCAAAAGGAAATATACACCATTAAATGGTCACCCACTGGTCCTGGCACACAAAATCCCAACATGAATTTATCCTTAGTCAGTGCATCATTTGATTCAACTGTTAGACTTTGGGATATAGACAGAGGAGCCTGTATATATACTCTTACAAAACACACTGAACCTGTATACAGTGTAGCTTTCAGCCCTGATGGCAAATTCCTGGCCAGTGGAAGTTTTGATAAATATGTTCATATATGGTCTACTTTGGTAAGTGATAGAATGGATTAATTATTCATTTTTTTTAGAAACGTATATTGAATTTGTATATCAACTTCCTACGTGTTAAAATTTTTTTTTTCAATGTCTGTAGAGTGGTCAATTGGTGCACAGCTACAAAGGAACTGGAGGTATATTTGAAGTTTGCTGGAACAGTCGAGGGGACAAAGTTGGAGCTTCAGCATCAGATGGCAGTGTTTTTGTACTTGATCTCCGCAAACTATGATAAATGACAAGAATTGCAATTTCGTATGTCTTTGTATACATAAAAACTAACAATACCTACCGTACCTTTTTGTATTTACCCCCATAAAATAGCAACAATTGTTGATATTCTCAAATTCTTTGAAGGTTTTATATTTATTGTCTTACAAGAATCTACTTTTTAAGAAATTTTAGTTCTAAAAATTGGATGTAGCAACGTAGAAAAAATTGTATTGTAATTGTACATTAAATTAATTCTTGATAATATTTAATTACATTTTAATCAAGACTGTAGATTATATTATGAAAACAATAAATTTATAAAATATTTGTTTTAATTTTAATAAGAAGTAATTTATAATTTTCTATATAGGTATATCATTTCTGGATAAAAAAGTCAAATTTTAATAAACACATGGAAGAAATGACTAAGTATTTCTTTTCATAATAACATTCAAAACTGCCTATCGCTTAAGTTATTCATCGTTTTTTTTTTTTGTTTTTTTTACAAGCTACAGAGTACTTAATTCATAAGTTTATGATCGGCCAATGAGTAACAATAATCATGAATGGAAATTTAAAAAATAATAAAAAAAGTCAGCTTACAAATTTGCATATTCAAAGTTTGTACTGTTTTTTATAAAATAATACAAGGCACAACTAAGACTTTTATGCATAGTCTATGACTTTACTAAACAATCAGCTCAATTGACAACAAAAGACAAATCACGCAATCGTTGGTTCGGTTGTTAAACAAGGAATGGCAGATCATATGTATAATGTGCATTATCACTTTTACACTGGATGTCTACCAACAAGTGATGTATTTTTTATTAACAAAAAAAGTCTTAACTTGAAATATCTTTAATTGTGAAAATTATACAATAATCGTACCTTTACTGCGTGTCTGAACATTCAATAAGGTATTTTCTAATGAGTTATTTCTATTAATAATATTATCTTAATTTAAAACAGATTTGGAAGTGTAATGCGTACACGTAAATCTACAAAAAATATGAGTACAAAAACCATTAAATGACTCAGATTGTACAATATCAATCTGATTTGGTATTCACACGAATACTTTGGCGAGAGCATCAGCGCCTGCACTTGCAATAAATGGCCGCGAAGGATGAAATGCTACATCTAAAATACTTTCATCGAACTTTTTACGATGAGCTGTTATTTCTTGGACACAAGTCTTATTATCCATATTCCACAACCTTATACTGCAATCATGACCTGAAAAATAACAAATGTGTTGCTAATTTTTGACCACTTTAATATGTAAATAAATTCAGTTAAAAAGTATTGCTGATACATACTTCCAGAAAGTAAATAGAGACCATTAGGATCTACAGCAAGACTAGTTACAGCGTCCAAATGCGCCACCATAGAATGTGCGAGGCTAGCCGAACGATGATCGTAAAAACGAATAGAACGGTCCTCACTAGCTGTTATAACTAACGGCAATATAGGATGGGCCACGATACGGTTAACACCCTGCGTTGCGTCACCAGCAAGTCTAGATACAACTTGGCCAGTTTCGCCATCGAATATTACACATGCTTCTTCGTAAGCAACTACCAATTTATGTGGCTCATCCCATATAAAATCTACCGATGTAGGATTTTTGTCTGCAAGGAAAAAAAATTAAAAATATGTGAGATTAAATTTCATTCGTTTATATTGCAACAATCGGCAATGGTACTTAAGTAGTACCTAGTTCAGATGTATAGTTGTTGAGAAGGGGTACTTTGCTGGCGGGACTCCACAGTTTGACCGTACCATCAGCACTGACGGACAGTAATTGCGAACGTGGATGACACATACTAAGACCCCAAACTGCATCGGTGTGACCGGTAAGGGTTTGACTGAGCAGACTAGGATCGTACGAGTCGTAAGGATCGATGTTGGCCGACGGCAAAGTCCAACAATGTATTTTTCCGTCTAATCCTCCGCTGAAACAATGGCTACCTGTGTTGTTCATAGCTAAACTTAAAACTGGTCCAGTGTGAGCTCTAAATGTGTACAACGGTTCAACGTCCAATGAAGCCGATCTGAAAAAATTTTGATAATTAATTTTACCAAAATGCAGTTTAATACATTAAAGGGATGTTGAAGTCAGTCCTAAAATTAATTTTCAATCTGATTTCCTAAAACATTTGCTGAAAAATTTTCTGGTCCTTTAAATAACATAATATTCAAATGTTCAGGATTGATCATTTGATTTTTGGATTGGCTTTACCATCTCCTTAAACTCTGCGTAGAAACAAGATATTTAAATTACTTTTTTGCAGGAACAGTTTTATGAAGATTCCAAAGTTTTAGTGTATGGTCGTCACTGGCTGTTATTAGAACAGGCTCAGTCGGATGAAACACGAGAGCTCTGACAGCGTCGAAATGCGAACGTAGTGTATACTTGGCATTCCAAGATCTTCTGCATGCTTCTTCGTTATTTGCCGACATCTGTTTGATTATTATAATTATAATAATATGATTTTTACTTGCCCAAAAAGATATTAATATAATTTTCCTGACTTACATCGTACGCTGCTTCGGCATCATTGTTTACGGTCAATTGTGCTAATTCACCCAAACCCAACGACGAGCCACTTTCTTCGCAAGGACGTCTACTAGAATCTGGTTGCATACCTCTACGTACAGAATCTGTTAAGAAAAAATAATGGATTTATCATCGATGTATCATTTATTTCTTGAATATAATAATCATTAAGGTACCCTTTAATTAAGGAATCCTTTAATTATGATTATATGCCAAATAATTATGATTATATGCCCGGATTATATGCCAAAAAAACCAAAATATGCACGCAAATATGCACCAAAAATCTCTAATATGCACGTAAGTATGTTTTAAAATTTATTGAAATTATGCAAAATAAGTCAAAAATGTTTGAAGTATAAAAAAATAATTCAAATATGCAATTATGTAATTGATGTAATTTTTGTCGTGGACCACATGGAAAAATGTGTAGAGAAAAGCTTACTTGATGAACTAAAAACAATAATTCTTATGATTCAAGTTATTCTTTCATTAATATTAGTACAAGCATCTGAATATTAGAAATTGGGCGTTGCAACTGCCCCTGTTTGTAAAAATGTTGTTAAATTTGGTAAAAATATGCATAAATATGCAATTTATGCATTTGCACATAATTTGGGCTCCAATAATAATATTAAGATAAAACATACTCCAATCGTTTGAATCGAGGTCTACGTGAATGATCGATTCTTCGTGTTCTGTTAAAAGGTTCAGTTCATTTAAAACTTCTTCAGCTTCGGCATCGACGTCTTCCATCATAATAGACGTCTGCAACAAATATCATAAAAAAGATAATTAGTTTTATACATATTAATACCTCGCATCAGCATAAAGAAACTTTGGAAGTTTGGAAAAGGAATCTTCTATTTTTGATGGAACTAATTCAAATCTTTTATCCTATTACAATAAAGAACATGAGTACTGACTTTATTTTGTTTAGCGTCTGTATTCGAGTCATAAATTTCATCCTCGCCGTCGTTATCTTCTTCCTCCATGTCAATATCTGTATGGGCAAGAAATTCGAAATTTGCCATTACGGCTGCTTCTGTATCGAGTATCATAGCTTCGGCTATTGATGACGGTTGTTGCTGCAATAAAAAAGAAAGATATTAGTGATACATCGGAAAGGCGGGGTACGAAACAGTGATCAAATAAAATTATACCTTGTTGCATCCCTCTTTTTTAGGAGAAAACCAACTCTTGGGATACTTTGGATGTCTGTATCGTTTTTTATTTGTTGATTCGTTGCCATTTAGCGCTGGAGTATTTGTATCTTCTGAGTCTTGATTATTATTCAAACCGAGGAGAGACCGTACCCTATTTGATCTGACATCTATTATCGTATCAGTGTAGCCGATTTCCTGTAAATACCTGCATACAAATAGTAACATGTGTTTAGTAAATGTGTGATGAATGTTAGTTAGAGGGTGTAGTTTGAACATAATCGTCGAAACAATAGTAACGACCACGAAAAATAAGAATGCAGAGTAAACAATTTCCAAAACTGTGTTCCAATGGGAAAAAATTTCTTCATGAGAGTCGAAGTTTGACTACAATAATAGTTATTCATGTAACAAGTGCCCAAAAGGCGTTTTTGGGCGTATTGTGGGCAAAAAAATCCACTCGTGCCAGTGTAACCGCTTTTTGCGCACTAAAAAGTTTGCGAAAAATGGTATATTACTGCCCTAGGGCCGCGAAAAACAGAAAAGTCCCAGAGTACGTGTAATTAGTCACATTCAGGCCGCTGGTATGAAAAGGCATTTTTCGTCATACTGTTGCATAAAATAATTAACTTCATGGCTGCAGGTGTATTAGTCGATCATTAGTTATTGTTTTGTAATTCTTGAACGAATCTCGCCATTCAATTTAAGATCAAAATCGTACACGAATTCACGTCGGAGGATTTTTTTATCAAAGTTTGTCTCGATTTGTCCTCTGTTTGACCTCGTTCTCCAATTAAAAAGTGCAGAAAGTAGTCACCATTAATTTATAAGCTAAGCGTGCGAGCACGAATTTGCGCGCGAGAGCGAGAGAAGCCGAAAGAAGAAGAATGAAGAAAAGAGAGCAAAAAAGAAACGTACTGTCTTAAAAGTTGACGACCTTGCCGCCAAGTAATATTGCTGATGGACGAGAAGGGCGTCTCGGTATCGCCGCCGCCACCGTCCGTGGTCATGTCGGTCTCGGTTTCGCCGGTGCTACCCTCCTCCACTGACAAGTCCGTGCCATATTTTAATTTGTGGAATTTTGCCCTAAAACACACAGTTTCAAATTTATTGTATATGTATATAATGCATAAGCGCATGAATGTGCTTAGAGTAAAACGCGTCACAAAGTGCTAAGGCGATTTCACAACTCGTTGATGTTTGCAGACACTCATAGTCGTCGCTGTGGTTCGCTATAAGCATATTGTCGGGCATGATGTAGCTACTCATATGCATTTACCATGTATGTAGTGCGTGGAGTAGGCACGTGCGCCTCGAGCAGGCTATTTCAGAAAAGGCTCTCTGGCTTTTTTGCGCTCCCAGAAGCATAAGCCACATTCGACTCGATAGACACGTCGCGGCTCGTTTGTTTACGCGTTAACACTTCAAGACCGAGTATGGATTCGATCGGTTCGTTAAATTATTTCACTCAATTCCGTGAAGTTGGAGCTTTCAGTCGGCGCGCTCGAGCTTCGAAATGCTGCAGTGGATCCAAGGGCGGGTACTTTGTGCAGCTAAGTTATCCAACAGCTCGCCGTTTGCCAATTAAAACTTTCATCCGTTAGTCCCGCAGTCGTCGTTGTTGTTGTTCACGTTCATCTTAGCTGGAGCTTAGGGATTCGCGAGCTTTACCTTGCCGCGCACACGTTTATGCAGCAGCAGCTGCGGGTATGACTATAACTATCGAGCGTGCTTTCGACGCCATTGGAGAAACAAACAAAACGTTAAACCCAATTGGCGTATCAAACTTTTGGCTTTGCACAATAATCTCGTACAACGCGCCAGATTATTTTTGCTCGCATATTGCGCGTAACCGCACAAGCGTAATGTACATCACTTGTTTGAATGCTTCGTTACAAACAATTTGCACGTCTACTTAATCTGTAGAATCGATATACGACGACTTGGAAAGTCGAAAATCATCGACTTGCAAAGGCGTAGAATACGCTCCATTCATACGCGCGCTTCCTGACGAGCTCTGCACGATCGCTGCACTCGTAGCATTGACGAACGTTCGCGCTTTTCGAAGATTACAGCCACTCGATCGTATTATATGCATATGTGGTATATGTACGGCTTGAATAAATTAAAGCTCGAGCCGTTTTCAGTCCTCGTATAATGTATCAACGTAGTTCGATCGCAGAGGGATAGAAAGAGAGAGAAAGAGAGATAAGTCGGGTCAGAAAAAAATTCAGTCACGACGCAAGATAGTTAAATAAAGTAAATTAATAGTATTACCTTTCCTGCTTGAGAGCGTACTCGAGCATTTTGATGCGTCGCACCAAGTCTAGTTTGAGATTCTCCTGGCCCTTGCGCTCGCCCTGCAGAAATGCTATTTTCGCCTGTAACAATAGCATGGTCGTGATATGGTGATTAAAAAGCTTTTAAATTAAATGTAGCATGATATGGTGCGCTAGTGCGAAAAACAACAAAATATACAGATTATTCATGCAAAAGCCGTTATCGTAGTTACAACTACCATGAAATAGTACAAATATGTACATGCATTATGCACCGAGCTAAAACTTGGATGGAGACTGAGTACCTTGAGAAGGTGTTCGTTTTTAGAATCTCTGTGACAATTCCAGTATCATATTTTCCTAAAGCTTTAGGACGATCGAAGCCGTTTTTCCCTCAACAATTTTCGAGAATATTTTATCGGATTTTCGAGATAGCGAAAAAAGAGGAGCGATCGCGCGAGAAACTCGGACACGATGAGTACGAAAGTTGTACCGAAAGTTGTGAGAAACAACCACATTTTATACTCTTCTTACTCGAGAGAAAACGTTCCTGGAGATAGAGAGAGAGAGAGAGAGAGTTATTATAAAAACGCGACCTTTCGAATAACGATTTATCGAGACCGATAATAAGCGTTCATTTTTATATCTCTTTAAAGATTCTATGAGGCGCATAGAAAAAATATACATAATAACGGATATTGACTGCACATCCGTTAATTTGCACCTGCAATTTTTAGCCGGAGCCTGTGTGCACGTGTTTTCAATCTTTTTTTCGCACGATAACTCTATGCGAACACATAGGTGTCAGTACCGGTATACTTGCATTATAAAATTAGAACTCGTCCGAGAGGTGCAACAAAAGATGATCAATGCGTGTTTTTTTCTCTATATAGGTCTGCATTATTTGGTAGAAGCCTTTCCGTTTAAAATGATCGATAGCGTTACTCTTGTTGCACAATACTTGCATTAAAAATTGTGCGTCATAATTTATTTTTCATGTAAAGCCATTGAAAAAAAAGTATTTATAAAAACTTACACTTTTTTACAAATATTTCACGATCGAGTCTATACTTCTATGATCTATAAATGAAGTCTAGTTTTCTCAATTGTGTTTTGCATGTACAAATTGGATTGTTATTGAACATAACACAAAGTAATGATTTATCAAGGAGAAACATGATTATTTTCTATTTTTAATTAATAATTGGAAAACACTTTCAAAATTTTCCAAATCGTATATACAAAAATCATTGTAAAGATGCCAATGGGCCTTATAATGTTTAAAAATCATTGAGTGAAAAATGCTCTTTTTAAGAGAATCAAAACTGCAGAACAACAATTTTATATTTTTGTATATATGGCAAATTCCAAGTGTCAATGGCTTTGAGTAAATTGTGTCAACTATTTCTTGTGTATATTTAACTTTTGTTTCAATGGTTATTTTATTCCAGTGTGAGTTTATTTATATCATTTAATTTTAATTGAAATATTGGCTAATAATAATAAATATAATGCACTAATAACTCATAGTTTAGGTAGACATTATCAAAAATAAAAATTGCAAAACAATGTTGGCCTCAAACCAATGATTATAAAATGAAATAAAATCATTGTCAGATTACATAAGTTTATTTTACACATCAATTTAGCACCTGAAATAGACTCTAAGTTATCAATTCAAAAAGTAACATCCAACTTGTCATTAGAATACATCAATTGGATTTATTTGGAGATAATAAAAGATAAACAACATTATTGCAAAATTTTATCATGATATTTTTGAGTGATAACGTAGCTAAGATATGCATATTTCAACTTAAGATAGCTAATAGAGAAAAAATATCATAGAATGAGTATTTAACTAGGCAATCAAAAAAAAATGAATGAAGCTTGTTTTTCATACAAAATAGAACTTCACAATGTAATCAAACAGAATACCAAAATCAAAACTGCATGATTCAAACTTTTTAGTGCTTATAATACTAAAAAGTATGAAAACATACAGCAAGTGTGAAGGATAAGTGCAAGAAGCTAGGTTTTGACAGTGGTGTGCAATTGGCAGTAGATTAAGCATGCAATTACCTGAAACTCAGCTCTGTCGAGTTCCCACTGGGACCTTTCAAGCTCAAATTTGGACCATTCATGTTGGAGGAAGTGAAGGACACCTGGCATCGAGTACTGGGGGCTCTGCTCCTTATTATCACCGGTAATGTCTACGTCGTTGATGCCACCGCCACCGAGTTGCTGGTGTTTATTGTTGGCCACGGAGACGTTGACAGATCCGAAGAGTTGCTGGCCACCGCCGCCGCCGTTATGATTCTGCGCCCCGAGGGCCGAGGACGGCGGCGCCGAGCCCGAGTTCTCCTCCATCTTGAGCTCGTAAAACTGGTGGATGGGTACCTTCATTTCATGATACGGCTGCGGCCATTACAGCTGAGGCAGCGGAGCAGCAGCAGTGGGAGCAGCGGCAACAGGGCGAAACGAAGCAGTGCAGGGTGAAACGTAGAGCCGGTGCGCGTCGAATGAGCCGAGTTGGGACTTCAGCTTCGTCGTTGCCGTTGTCGTCGTCGTCGTCTTCTCAATACACCATATAACTCAGCAGAAGCAGCAGCGCAGCACTATTCAGCTCGGCGCGGAGCGAATATACACGTATACATTCACAGACAGCAATATGTGTATAAATACTGCATACACACAGCCGCGCTCGTTCTCTCTCTCTCTATCTCGCTTGCTCTCTTTCTCTATCTCTATCTCTGTCTCTCTCTCTCTCTCTCTTGCTCACTATGCACTATATACTGCACTCAACGCACTGACTACTGCTGCTACTATTCTGTACGTATGTAGTTGTATACACATTAATAGAGTATTGGTTTACACACTCACACGCACAAACACTGTCTAGTCTTATGAGCCGTGTACGGAATTTATATTATTATTGTTTAAATCACAGTCAATACATAAAATAATATTGAGAGTATTGAATTTATGCAATCTGTCTATATGTGTGTGTGTGTGTGTGGCACTAGCCTGATTACTGTCGTATTCTCGCGTGCTTGAATATGCACGTAAGTCAGTCTTGTACAGCGTGTACGATGTACTGTATACAATCGCGAACTTGCTTCAGCTTTTTTGCTCTCTCTCTCTTACATTCGCGAGAGAAACGGCGGAGTGCGAAAAAAAGAGAGGGCAACAAAATCAGGATACACACAGAACAGTGTGCACACAAGCACACAAGTACAGAGGTACTTGCACGTACACTTTATACACACACGTACACATTACACACCCAAACGAGGAGCAACAGCACTAGAGACACTAGACCAGTCAGCAGCAAAGTTAAAATTGAGCTGCGTTACGTTCGTCCGTGTGTACACGTTAAGTACTGCTGCTCAGTATTGGTGTACGAAATAGCGAGTTGCATGCGTACTGATATACACTCACATAAAAAATAGGTAGTATATAACTGTACGAGCATGAACTGCGAGTGTAGGTATACTAAAGGCAAGAGTAGCAGTAGAAGGCGGATTGCTCGATCGATATAATACGTGAACACGTTTTCGCGACTGCTGTATCATATCAACACTAAACGTACCTACGCGATTTTTCTCCGCCACGGAGACCGAAGACCGCGAAAAAGAAAAAATGGTCGTGCACAACGAGTCAAATGCCCTATTCAAGCTTCGTTGTGAACAGTGAACGTCCACGCCGTCGTGCGTGTGATTATTAATATAATGACACACACACAAGCGCGCACGCACACACACACATAGAATAGCTATTCTGCAACTTATAGTTCATGAGCAATAGTGAACGTTGTGCGATGGATCGTGTGAGAATCGCTCCAAACTCACATTACCTACTCCGACGCTGTTTTTGCGAATCTGCATTTCTGCGGGACGCGCGCGTCTGCACTCTGCACTCAAAAAAGCTCGATACGCGCTTTATATTCAACAATCGGTTTCTAAATAGAGTGTATGATGCTTTAACGTGCAAATGAAGTATGCAAAGATGCGCGCACTCCCTTGTACATTCGCTCGACGATCAGTTGGAAGTGCAGTCTAAGCGCAATTGCAGTTTAGCTTATTGCTTCGGTGACTCGCATCTCTATTCGCGAATTGCGAATCGCCCTGTTGGTCATACGCACGCGCCCACGAGCACTCGTAGTAGAGTATATATATCAATATAAGACTTGATCAGAACTGCGGTGAATGGCTAAAAAATTGGCAAATGCGGTACGACATGGACGAAGCAGTTTGACCACCCGTGGAGGAACCATGTATAAATGCTAAAAGAACGAAAAAAAGAAAAAAGTGCTCGTTACAACCCAAGTTGACCATGGTTCTTATAACCAATCGAATGCCATTGAAATCACTAATTGAAAAACTGCAACTCCATTTTGCCTCGCAAACGCGATCGAAATGTCAATAATTAGCACGGATATCGTCCCGGTTGGCTCGCTCGACGCACTAGGTCGGAATTCGGGCTCGGCGATGACTTTCTTCAGGAAGTCACGATGTTATCGCACCGTTATCGTCCCGGGTGGCTCGCTCGACGCACTAGGTCGGAATTCGAGCTCGGCGATGACTTTCTTCGGGAAGTCACGATGTAATCGCACCGTTATCGTCCCGGGTGGCTCGCTCGACGCACTAGGTCGGAATTCGAGCTCGGCGATGACTTTCTTCGGGAAGTCAAGCTGTACTCGCACAGATATCGTCCCGGGTAGCCCGCTCGACGCACTAGGTCGGTATCCGAACTCGACGATGACTTTCTCCAGAAAGTCGCAATGATTTCGCACGTATATCGTCCCGGTTGGCTCGCTCGATGCACTAGGTCGGAATTCGGGCTCGGCGATGACTTTCTTCGGGAAGTCAAGCTGTACTCGCACAGATATCGTCCCGGGTGGCTCGCTCGACGCACTAGGTCGGAATTCGGGCTCGGCGATGACTTTCTTCGGGGAGTCAAGCTGTACTCGCACAGATATCGTCCCAGGTGGCTCGCTATTAGTCGTTCGCAAAAATACATCCCCAAATTTCCCCTCGGTCAAACAGGTTGAAAAGTTTTGAAACTCAATTCGATAATAATAATTAAAAAATGTGAGTCTTGAAGTTTACGTTAGCTGATTGTTATAAAAGTCTTGAAATGCACTTAAAATATCAGAAAGGCGCAAATCGATTTTTCCTCAAATATGAAATTTTCTGTTTGAGACGGGAAAATTTTTTATATCGTAGGTATAAATTTTTGCAAATGTAAATAGGTCCAGTTACTTCTATTTGACTCACAAATAGTCCAATTCAAATTGTTTTAATACATGTTTAAATTTCATGCAGATAGCCTTAAAGTTGTCAAATTTGAGTCCTAAAACAACAAAGCAAAATTTGATATAGCGCTAACAGTCAAATTCAAACTTAAGTATGGTACAAAAAAAGTTTTAAAACCATTAATCTGATATTTAGCTATTGGGTGTAAAAAAGGTGTATGAATATAAAGCGAAACAAGAACGACAGCAGAGCCCTCATACATCTAACTTTACCACTTTTGAATTTGAAGATTATTACAATTACTTCTAAATCAACAATTGCTCTATGATACTTTTGAAATCTAATAACTTGTCAATGTCGACGCAAAAAAAATTTTTTCCATGACTCTCATCTTCCCATTTTTCACTTTTTATTAATTTTTCATCAAATTACTTTTTAATCTCGAGCTAATTCTTTTTTACAAAAAATAATACAGTGAAGCAAGTATCACAATTTGACTCTTGTAGTTAGGGCATCTAATTATCTAACTTTGAAATCTTTACCAAAATTTTGAAATTTTTAAGCTTATATTGTTAATTATTATCCATTACTTAGCTATGATGTTAATGAAATCAAATAAATCCCGTCAAGTATTTTTGCAAACTTACAATTTTATATTTCAAACTGCTCATTGACAATAATATAATTCAAAACCGTGGTAATACTTTTTTCAAAAGATTAAATAGGGGCAAGTATGACAGTCTGATCCTTATGTTTCAATTAAACTTTTAATTTCAAATTGTCAATGATCAACTACTTAGCTATGACGGTAATGAAATCCAATACATTCCGACAAGTATTCAAGCAAATTAAAATTATTTTCCCTTAAACTTTAACCATAATACAAAGTTTGGGATAAAATAATTCAATAATTAATTACATGAACACACAAATGAATAAATTAGATTCAATAATCAATCACGTAGCTATGATATTATTGAAATCAAATACATTCCGATAAGTATTCAAGCAAACTAACATTTTTATTTCTCAAACGAGAAC